TTGAATGATCACCCCGAAGAATTTCATTCCCAGACTCAAGTTACATACATATTATGTCTTCCAAAGTGAAAGATTTTGTTGTATAATAATTGTAATGTATTGTTGTGATGGAGCTTTAGGACAACATGTCCTCTTGATATTATTGGTTAACAGCAAGAATAAGCTTAAATGTCAGCATACAATCAAGACACTAACTAGCAGTCACTATCTGTTGATTTATATATGCTTACAGTAACCCAGCCAGCCTATGATATGTATAATGTGTGAGGTTATTATCATAGCAGTAGAGGTTGACCACACCCAACTCGTTTTAACAGCAGTGTAATAATGACAGGCCTAATGCTGCTGGCTATTGGCTCCTTATAATGCTATGTTCATACTCTACACCAGATCAATCTTTGCACCTAATTTGGAAATTCAACTGGTATAATTTGAACTGCCCCACAAAAGACAATCCATAACCAAGCTGGTGCAGTAAAAGGGTCTATCACCCGAAGAAACAAACAGATCACCATAATGGTGGTTTGTCACAATAATATTTTATTTCAAGGCAATTTTTAGGCCAAATTAAAATAATTATTGTGTTAAAAGTTGCATTTTTTGCATGTTTTTAAAAAGCCACTTAGAACATAACCCACAGTGTAGACACATTGTTTAGGTAAACGAAAACATCGTGGTTATTTTGGTAGTGCAATGGCTGCCATCGTTGATATTATCACTGAATATTGGGGAGAATTGAAATAGCAACCCTTGGGGGTAGGTGTTGAGGCAAAAGAAGGAGGCGGGGGAAGGGGAGGGGAGAATAAAGTGATTTTTGAAAGTTTAACCTTTTGGTATGTGTCCACAAAAACACATGGATTTGTTACTATCAAAAAAAAACTGACAGCTGCAATGAAGGTATAAAAGGCAGTCAGGGCTGTGCTTTAGCTGAGCCTGGTGGCCCCTGCCTCCCAATTTTTGCTCTTGGGCGACTAGAAAATCTTCGTCTTTTCATGCAAATCATATGCTGGCACCCTGGATTTTACTGGTCCGGAGTACTGGGCTGCATTCAATTTTCCTTAGAGCACAGCATTGGAAAAAGATTGAAAGAGAACTGATTTGTTTTTTTTTTTGTTTTGTTTTGTTTTTTTTTAATCAGCTGATTTTGGTCTGGCTCGTGCTTTTGGTTATCCGTACAAACCTATGACACCTGTAGTGGTAACCCTGTGGTACCGTGCACCGGAACTCCTGCTAGGATCCAAAGTACAAACTACAGCTGTAGACATGTGGGCTGTTGGCTGCATATTTGGCGAGCTGCTCGGTAACAAGCCATTGATGACTGGAAAATCGGAGATCAACCAGTTTCAATTGATTGTAGACTTACTAGGAACTCCCAGTGACCAGCTTTGGCCAGGATTTTCAAAACTGCCCGGGGCCAAATCTATGAACTTCAAACGACAGCCATACAATAACCTTAAACACAAGTTCTCGTGGTTAAGTCCCGCGGGACTAACCCTTATAAATCACCTGCTGATGTACGACCCATGTAAACGGGCCTCGGCAGCTGACTGTCTGGAGAACTCATATTTTGTTGAGAAGCCACTTCCGGTTGAACCGGATATGATGCCCACATTCCCGGAACACCGGAACCGGAACTATAGTAAAAGGCCATCTGATTATCAGGCTGGAGAGAAACGGCCAGTTGCTCAGGAAACTGAACACTCGTTTAGTAGAGGATTTGCCGACTTTGGACCACAGCTGCCACACACGAAAAAGAGGAAGTACTAAAGGCTTTTACTACTGTTTATGACAAAGGATAATATTTAGGGAGCTTAAGCGATGACGAGGGCGACGGCGACGAGAACTTCAAAAAGGCAGTAGGTTTAATAAGTAAACAACAATTTTGCATGTGCAGCACACCTTTGGTATGTTTCCTTGCCGTTCCTGCACGACCACGACGTGAAATTTCCTTATGCGACTTTTTTTTGGAGCACGTAAACACACAAATAATAAACAATAATTCAGTTCCAAATTCAGTTCAAATAATAATTCAATTCAGTTCAAATTATAATTCAGATTTCTTTCTCTTTCCAAAGTTGGAGTGCAGCGCCCAAGAATTCAATTTCAGGAAAATTGATCTCTATTTGACTATTTTAGTGAATTGGAATAAACGCGACAAAGTCTAGTAAAACGCGAATTCACTTTTATTATTAAAGACGTTTTGGCTGCCGTAGCCGTTGTCGTTGTTAAAGATCCCTTTTGTTCTGTCTTTGAGGTGCTTGGAAGTCTGTTTTTGTGACTTCGGATTTGAATGTTAAAAAAGTCCTTCGTCATCGCAATTACATGTCAGTTGTCATGACGCTATGCATAATATGTGATATCACCACGATATTCGGACTTAAATAGACGAAGTCCTTACCCCAGAAACCTTATCCAAAGAAATTCAGATCCGGTTCATTCCAAAAAACTTTGTTTCTGTTTTCACACCGGAAGGTTAGATTGATGCCATTTTCAGACCAAGAGGCCACACCCTTGGAAGCAGGCTCCATCTTATTTTGAATCTCATACTATAGCTAGGCAGAAGTAACCCACCCCTTATGAAATTCTTCCCACTTCAAAAAGCTTAACAGCCGAGAGAAATTAAACACTTAATCATTGTCGTGACCATAAGAAAAGTGTGCGGTTATATTCAGCAGCATGATTCTTATAATTTAACCTATTTCTTAATAATTTCAGTTTCAACTGCCTTTCAACACAAATGTAAATAACCTCTCTTTCACCTTGGTTAGATCCCGCGAACGTGGCCGGTGTATCTTCGGTTTCTTTGTTATGATAAGCGTGTGACCCGAGACTGTATTGTGTGGGTTTTCTCTCTGTTGAAAGATGAAAAAAAAACTGATAATAACTCGGGGTAGCTAAAGAGGAATAGTTATTTTCAATTAGCAAAGTGAGCTTTGGCGAGCCCAGTGGTGGAGGCTGTTTTCGAAGCACCAGTCTTATGGATATATGATACGTTAAGTCAAGGTTGCCTAGTCCCTGTACGTCGTTTTCCCAGGCCCTCTCGGTCAATTCACTTCGGTGAAGTATCCGAGGCGAACGGGCGGGAAACATTTTCGCTTGGACCACGTGACCCGAAACGCTTCGGCAGCGCGAAATAATGAGGCCTGGGGACAAGGCAAAAGTCAAGGTAAAACTCGGACTGTGATTTCATGTCCTGCAATGGTGTTGCAGTTAGTTGCTTTGCTCACTGAAAATCGTATAGAAACAAGTCATTGCATCAGGGAAAATATCGACGAAAATAACAATTTAAACTGAAATGTTTCAGGAGTTGCCTATATAGAAACATGTAAATAATGAAAGGAAACAGGAAACTTGAGAGAAGTTAAAAAAACCTAATTTAAGGAAATGCCCGATGTAGTATAAATAATAAGTCCCCAACTTAAATTTTTTATTTACAATCGCATTTTCTCGAGGAAGCCAAGTTTCACTATGAAACTGTAATATTAAATTTCAACTTCCTGAGGCATATATATTAAACAATTTTTCAAATATTTGTTACCAAAGTAATTTATATATAAATCAGAATCACTTTTTTTCTCATTTTCATATTGTTGTTTATATTCTTTTATTAAGTTTAAACTCGATCTTTCAGTTTGTCAATACTGCATCGCACCTCATCATTGTTGCTGTTATCACCTGGGATTCAAATTGCACTCTAACAATCCGTTTTGGACTAGACTAGCCTTTTTTTTCAATAGCTTAAAACAATAATGTTTAATTGTTGCTTGACGTTTCCGTTTTCCCCTGTTTGTTTAGAGATCCACGGTGCACTCAGTAACTTACTTCAAGAGAATTACATTCGAGATTAACTTTGTTATTCTGACGCTAGTGTTTGCTTGGTTTCAAGTTCCAACGTACATTTAATCATATCAAGATTCCTCAGTTGCCGACGAAATAAGTCTCTCATTGGTTAAGCTTTACCTTGGTTGGCTCTGTTGATATTAGTTGCTTTTCGTATTACTGCTCTCTTAGTTTAAACCGTAGTAGTTTAGCTGCGGTGACAAGGGAAATAAATCGCTCACAAAACATACACCTTGTTTTGGTTGTGACAGTCACCTTAATTCGAGGTAAGAGTTACGTTGACCAACTTTCTCGTAATGGACACTTAGTTCTCTAAAAGTGAGTGCCTAGTGTTGTCTTTTTGGTTTATTCGTAGTATTTCCTTTCAGTTTCCTTTTAGTATATACACGATTTCAAAGACTTAACAGTTATTGGACGAGGTTGAACAAAATATCTTGAACTGTCAGTTGCAAGCAGATAAATTATTTGCCGAATCCGAAGGCTGAGGCAAATAACATTGATCACGCAAGAGCGATCGCAGCCAAACACAGTTGGACGACATTGCACATGAGCAGAACATTGTTCGTAGGCAGTAATTTGCAGGTGGGCTTTCGGCCAGTGAAAAGGAAAAAAATTTGCATCGAATGATAATAATTGTTGAATAGTACAACCGCAAGTCAGATAAATGTACCTTCAAGACTGGAATCACGCTAGGTCAGCAATATCCTCCAGACAGTAAAGTGAAAATTACTGCTTGCCAGGAATAAACTAGATAGGATGTCATCACCGAGAATTTAGATTTTGATTCTTCAGAGAGGCACAGTGCACTGAGAGTGTTGTTCAGTTTTGATTTTAGTGCCGTTTACGGAGAAACGTTGTAAAGCGCTTTGTTTCATAGGAGTTTCGGTGATTTAATGCTCATATTTCCTGTTACACCAATCACAAGCAACCAATAATTCCATCGTACTTTGCAATAAACTTTCAGTTTGATCTTCGTCAAGACAACTTTTTGTGACATGTCACCATGCTTGTATTTTTATTTCCGTTTTCATTATGGGAGCATTCACCAGATTCACAAAAATTATCGTGTCCGTGTTGCTATTTTCCAGGGGTTAGCAGGAATCTATCTAAGGAGCACCATAGCGGTTTGAGGCTCTGAAAAGCTAGGTAAATAACCAACAGCTGGTGTTTTTTTTTCTGCTTATTCTTATTATTTTGAAAACAGCATTCAACAAATAATACTACGAAATCAGTCGGAAGTGAAGATGAGCAATGTATTGCAATATCGATTTGGGAAAAAACATTAAGGGTGACAGTTTTTTCAAACTATCAAGTTTGCTAAAATCCTTGAAAACCCTTCTGGGCCACCGTAGTTCTTACTGTACAAAGGTGCGTCAAGATGAAACGCTTTGTATCATTTTTCCAGAGTTTTACTGATTTCTATTTTTTAGTCCATCAAAATATAATAATTTTCGTAACGGTTGCGTGCTTGATGACTTCATCACCTTTGATTATGGGGTACCGTTCATGTTTTTGAGAAGATATTAATGATGACCAAGAAAGTTGAATTAACCTCAAAAATTTTATTACAAAGTGCGATGGAATTATTACAAACTTCGACAGCTTAGTTCATTTAATACAAATTGCGATGGACAATTCACAAATTGCGACACGATTTATGGCAAATTCCGACAGGTGTTACAAAGTGCGATGATGATTATTAATTTTGACAGTACAAGGTGTCGTATAAAAGGACCAAAATGTCTTCAGCGAATGCCCTATAAAAAAGGACTAAGCACCACGAAAGCCATGTCCTCGCCCAAGGCATGTACCTATAAGACCTATAAAGCAGTCAAGATATACGCTGTATACATAGCTTAAATATAGGAGTACCTACCCCTCCGAGATATTGAATCATTTTATGCTGCACTGACGCCACAATGAGTGCTCAACCGTATTGGCCCACTGATAATAGCAACTGATTAAATATAAACTGTCGGTTACAGCTCGCTGAGCCTTTCCGTCCTTTTACTTCAAAGAGAAATTTGTCATTTGTCGTGTTTTAGAGCCATGAGAAATGTCGCGGTGGACATTTCAATTCTCTTTTGCATTGCCCATGTCTTGGTGGCAGATCAGAGGGCACACCCGGGACGGGTACGGAGAGAACAAGCATCGCGTAAGTTCTTTTTGTTATATTTTATATAGAACGCTTCTAGCTCAGTATACTTTTCGCGTAACACGAAAGATGTCAAGGACCTCATGAGAGCAATTTGTAGTTCGCTTGAGGTTTAAAGATGTTAGAATAAATTCTTTTCCTTCTATTGAGCAAGAAAACCTCAAACAGCTTCAATTTTTGTTTCAAGTCATTTGGTACGATTAACTCTAATGAACAGAGAAGGTACTTCACATATATTATGCAAGAGGGATAAAAAATATTGTGTTTCAGTGTAGGATCAAATCATATGGCAGAAAAGGGGAGTCACGATCTCACTCTGGCTAGCTCGGTTTTTACTATTCACTTTGTTTTCGTACAGAGAGAAGGTCTGTTGTTTCGGTTTGCAATATTTTGTTTGCAGATTTATTCATTTATTCAATTCATATTTATTTGTTTTCTTTTTCTATTTCATAGTAATTTATTATTTTTTGCCGTTGGCAACCTCATTTTACTATGTCCCCGCTGAAATAGGCAAATAGCGGAGGAGAAAGTCACCATATCTTGATAGTGGATTGCGGTGTTCAACGTTTCTTACTCAAAACTTCTTCAAGCTTGGTTGATTTTCCTTACTTAGGTATAAAAATGAGCTTGATTCAGCCTCTGCCTCCAGCTACAAAACCTTAAAATGATCTTTATGCGAACCTTTCGTGACTTTTTTGGTGGTCTCTGTACTGTGACAATAACCATATGCTATAACAAAAAAGATAACGAACTTTTGACTGGAGAGAAACAGAACCTTTCCGCTTTCTCTTCAAACTAAGTAAGCCAGTTGCCCTTACTTTTGGTTTTTGGTTACTGTAGTTGTTTTTCTTTTAAATAAACGGTCTTTGTAAGAAAAAGTAAACCAGTACATTTTTAATACACTGTTTGGCATTTCATTCATGTGTTTGCTTAACAACAGTGCCATAAAGCCTTTCCAGTCTTTTGATTTGTAAGCTAGTTTCCTTGCAGCGACACAACAACCAAGGCGTAGTAGCAGTGTCTGACTGAAGGTCACCTAAACCACAGGGGGTGAGGGCTATATTCTCTATAAAAGCCTATACGGGGAGGCTCCGCATGAAAGAGGTTTTTCAGGCATCAGGTATTTAAAGGCTTGGGATTTGAAAGAGTAGCTAGGGAAATCTGTCATTTCGGTATTTCAATATGGCTCTTAATAAAGTTTCTCGAACACTCCGTTCATTGCTGTGGAAACTACAAGAATCTTTTGAGCAATTTATTCATATTAAAAAGACTTTCCAAGTTACAGCAGATGAAGAGAATACAGTTTTCTTTTGTAGGTATGTGAAATGGGTACTATTTGTCAAAGGTAGGCGAGGTAGGCGATAGGGGTATCTTTTTGTCGAGAATGTAAATAAACTGGGTAATACAGACTTTTAGATTCGGGGTCGAGAACGAGTACCAGATTTGATTTAAAGTTTTTTCGTGTATTGTAAAAAATAGAAACCCCGGAATTCTTCATTGTACTTCTTTTCACCAGAAAAGTTAGCACTGTTAACGTTCTTGAAGGAGGTTAAGACCTCTCTAGATTGCAAAATGCTAAAACGTCTAAGGGACCGGTCATTATTTATCGCCTGGGGGGGGGTCGGAGGATTTTGGGCTAAACACGATGAAATTTAGCCGATGCCCCCTTTAAATGTTATTTTATTGAAGTGATCCCCCCTCATAACTACATATAACTTTCGTGATCCCCCATGTCTTTGTACCCATATTCACCTTTCGACGTGTATATTTAGTGTTTTAAACGTTCATATACAGGTAGTATTTCTAACTATGATGTACTTACAGCATAATAAAGCCGTTATCGCGCAGTCTTTTTTTAAAAGTGTCTCTTGATCCGTGTCTTTTGCTAGTCTGGATCCAGACATCTGAATTCAGTTGACATACAAGCAATCTTGCTTAAAACTGCAAAGTGCTTGAAACTGCAAAGTTACTTTTTTTAGAGTGCCAAATAGCAGTCCGCCAAGTCCCTATCAGCAGGTCATATTTAGCGACAATTCGGCCATCTGGAAGGGCTAGGATCGGCCACTGTTCCTGTCTCCTTTTTTTTTGTCATCTATAGTGTAATGGATCAGCCTTTGTAGCTTTGCTCACATTTTGTAATTTTTTTTGTTCGTTTTTTTGTTTGTTTTCTTTTTGTTTTCCCTTTTTTTTTCATCCAGTGTTTGCTTGTACAGTAACTTCAGCTATTTGGTCATCTGGTACAAAAGTTAAAACTGGCATACGAACAGTTGACTGTTCATCGAGATCAGCAATGACAAGATCAACTTCGCTATCCTCGTCGTCATCTAACTCCGTATCTGATTCTTCACTGTCTTCCTCACTGCTGGACAACTCATTCCCGTTGCCTGGACTTCTCTGTCGATAGTAATGGTAGTAGCACATTTGAGTGGTCCTCCCTCTGAATCCTTCCAAAATTTTCAGTGATCCCCCCCTTTTGGGCTCTCAGTTACGACTGATCCCCCCTCTGTTCTCCTAAAAATCAAGTGATCCCCCCCAAAATCCTCCGACCCCCGCTAGGTGATAAATAATGACCGGTCCCTAACATTTGATAACTTATTCCCGCCATTACGACACTCTCGCTGCGTTTTCCCGCCAAAATGACGCTGGTTCAAGTACGAGCACTACTTATTAGAGAGTTTTAGATCCGAGTTTACCGCGAACCTCTAACCGCTGGAGGTCACGTGACAAGTCTTTCGCGTCACGTTTGAGGTTTACAACGTGCGTTTTCAACGTGGGGAGCTGGGTTTTCACGTATGTCATTTACCTGAAAGCTTTTAGCGTATAATTATTGTTTCATCCCACGTAATGATACAAAAATCTTGTGGAGCAAGTCTTTATACATTAACAGAGGCACAAATTCGGGCGAAATGCTAAATTTGATAAATCCTATTGGATCTTGAAAACAAGTGCCATTCATGACTGCTGATTCAAAATGGCGGCCGTAAAATTGCAAGAAGAACTAATGTAAGAATTTACAGCTCTTTGCTGCTAGATAACCCAGTGTTGCCGTAAATTTCTTTTATTTTCACTGATTAATTTTTCTTCTATTTCTAAATGGAATAATAAACCAGAATCCACTTGTTTAATCCACCGCCAATCTAAATCGAATTATGTTTGAACGTCGAACCGCAAACGGGTAAGGGACCGGTCATTATTTATCACCTAGCGGGGGTCGGAGGATTTTGGGGGGGATCACTTGATTTTTAGGAGAACAGAGGGGGGATCAGTCGTAACTGAGAGCCCAAAAGGGGGGGATCACTGAAAATTTTGGAAGGATTCAGAGGGAGGACCACTCAAATGTGCTACTACCATTACTATCGACAGAGAAGTCCAGGCAACGGGAATGAGTTGTCCAGCAGTGAGGAAGACAGTGAAGAATCAGATACGGAGTTAGATGACGACGAGGATAGCGAAGTTGATCTTGTCATTGCTGATCTCGATGAACAGTCAACTGTTCGTATGCCAGTTTTAACTTTTGTACCAGATGACCAAATAGCTGAAGTTACTGTACAAGCAAACACTGGATGAAAAAAAAAGGGAAAACAAAAAGAAAACAAACAAAAAAACGAACAAAAAAAATTACAAAATGTGAGCAAAGCTACAAAGGCTGATCCATTACACTATAGATGACAAAAAAAAAGGAGACAGGAACAGTGGCCGATCCTAGCCCTTCCAGATGGCCGAATTGTCGCTAAATATGACCTGCTGATAGGGACTTGGCGGACTGCTATTTGGCACTCTAAAAAAAGTAACTTTGCAGTTTCAAGCACTTTGCAGTTTTAAGCAAGATTGCTTGTATGTCAACTGAATTCAGATGTCTGGATCCAGACTAGCAAAAGACACGGATCAAGAGACACTTTTAAAAAAAGACTGCGCGATAACGGCTTTATTATGCTGTAAGTACATCATAGTTAGAAATACTACCTGTATATGAACGTTTAAAACACTAAATATACACGTCGAAAGGTGAATATGGGTACAAAGACATGGGGGGGGGATCACGAAAGTTATATGTAGTTATGAGGGGGGATCACTTCAATAAAATAACATTTAAAGGGGGGATCGGCTAAATTTCATCGTGTTTAGCCCAAAATCCTCCGACCCCCCCCAGGCGATAAATAATGACCGGTCCCTAACCGCAAACCGCGGTTAGAGGTTCGCGGTAAACTCGGATCTAACACTCTCTATTATTTAGAAAATCTCTTATACTCGTAGTCGTTCTCGTCTCAGAATCTAAAGGTCTCTAAAATTAAACAGTTTGGACCTTGGGGCGGAGCCTGCAAACTTCTCTCTCTCTCTCCCAATGCCGAGCCTACTGAATTACTGTGTAGCCTTCCCCAGTTTACGTGACCTTTTGTTTACATCAGTACAACACTAATTCTCTCAATTCTTTTGCAAGTACCGCCCAATGCAACAACTGTAAATACCAAACACTACGACATTGCTCACTTCACGTGCACAGCACTTGGACAGGATACAGTCAGATGGAAAAGAGAGGGAGAAGAATTGAAAGAGGAGGATCTTGGGGTCGCCATCCTGTCCACACTGAAAGAGACAGGATCTTTGGAAAGCCATTTACTTATTGCGGTGACGAGCGACGATTTGCGAGGAAAATACGAATGTTTTTCAAGCGCCGATTCTAACGAAGCCCAGGAAACCTTTTTTATTGGAAGTAAGAATTTAAACAATTAAAACAAAATAGGGCAAAACAAATCACTCAGGCCCCTCCCCGTCCACACGTATCCGGAGATTTTTGTATCCACAAATTTTTTTATGCGGATACACCTAGCGTTCACACGTGTCCGCCGTATACGCTCGGTGTATCCGGAGATTTCTGTATACGCTGTGTATCCGGATACGTGTGGACGCTCGTATCCGTATATTTTTGTATACGCTGACATCACAGTATCAGAACCAGTCTTAATGCGCGTGCTCTGTTGACTAATCCTTTGAGATGTCCGGATACGAATCGGATACGTGTGGACGGTCGTATACGATTCGTATACGCTACGTGTGGATGCAGATATTTTTGTATCCGCATAAAAAAATTTGCGGATACAAAAATTTCCGGATACGTGTGGACGGGGCCTCATTCACAGTCGCTCTACACACTTCAGAAACAGAGAAATATTTTGAATGAATAATAACTCAGGTTAATCTCAAGTAGCGTCAGAACGCTGCTTAATATCATATTTCGCTGCTTGGAAACTTTGGTGTATTTTCTTTCTTTCGATCCTGAAAACTAACCTGTTATCTCAACAGCCGTCTTAGTGCAACTTTTTTCTAAATTTTAGCTTTTAGCGCTCTCTGTACATCTCTACGAGAACGGCTCGACAGAATTCTCTTTAAATCTCACCACATAATCTTCACATTACATTCAAGACAAAACTAGCCTACGAACCGGGCAAAAATCCGCGTTACAGGATTCACTGTTTTGACGTTGTGCTTATTTTTCCAAATTAATGCGGACCATACATACCTCCATGACTAGTACATTATTTTAAGGTATCATAGCACATTGTGTTTGAAGAGGTTTCTTTTACGCCGCGTAGACTTATTTAGTTTTTTTCAAAAGTACATTACCACCATCATCATCATTATCATTTTATTTATTTATTTATTTATTTTTAGTTTTAATTTTTTTGCAGAAGACCCTGATCTCGAGGGAAAGCTAACAAAGGAAGAAACCTCGGCGATCATCTTGGCCTTATCTATCACCATAGTTCTCGTCAGTTTTATTGCGCTTTTTCTGTGTCGTGGAAACCGAAGACTTAAGAAAGCGCGTGCAGCAGACCTGGCAGAGAGGTCAAGAGCAAGGAAGGGTCACCATGGTGCTCGGGTATGTACCAACAGTTGTGAGATGAGCACTTTTCTGAAGTTCAAACACTGCAGCGATACAATAAGCTTAAACAATCGACAAGAATACTGTACTCTTATCGACCATAGCAACATCGTTCAAAATTCAAGTTGAGTGCGAGCGGTTAGACTGCAAAGGTCTGAACATTTTGACGTCATTTTTATGGTCAATAAGAGTATAGATCGCAAAGTGTTGTCGATTTGTTTTCTACAATAAAAAAGACGGTTTCTGACGTTCATTTTGGTTGAAGTTTCTTAAAAAATCGCTAATCACAAGATCGAGATGAATAAATTGCACTACCACCATCCCGTCATTGCCATGGTGTATTTAACGAATATATTTTTCATGTTACCGTGCGTCTCCTCACTACTAATAGATCACAGATGACATCAAAATGGGGTAAGAGCAAAACAAAATGAGACACGAGCCGCAGTTATTTTAAAAATGCACTTTTAATGAGAAAGATACAGAATACTCTTTATACGTGTTTTCTCATCATTTCATCATCCCAAGGGGGCAATTGTGGAAAAGTTCAATCGTTTAAACTGCAGTCGGGTCACAGTTCCTAACGCACACATCTCTTTACGGACAGTTTTCCTAGTCCCAAAGAAAGAGCGATTTTCGTTCAGTTGATCTTAATGATCCCATTACGTGGATCTTTTTTATTTCAGGTAAACCTCGCTGTGGAGGAAGAGATCATCGAAGAGAGACAACCTGGGACCGAGGTCAAGACAGAACCGGAGAATAGAAACAACAACAGTCCCGAAGTAGTCGGAAACTATCATGATCGCCCACAATCGCAAACTGTCGGCGTACCCGAGGTTATTGGTAGGCCCAGGCCAGAAGACGAGAGGAGCACACAATTTTGAACAATAGTGTCTCGTTAGATAAGGAATCATTTCGTACCTGATCAGAGGAAATGGGAATTTTTGCCCTTTTTCTCCCGCTCAAACTCTAAATTATTCAAGTGCACAAGTCAGTCAACTAAAAGCCTTTATAATGAAAATCGTCCCTCTCCAGTCCGATCTTATCGCTTTTTCTTCTTCGGGCTTGTTTTCATGGAGATGGGGGACCCCAGGTAGGTGAGGTAACCCACTTAGGTGAGGTAACCCGCCTGTCCATATACTCTCTAAATTTATGTGATCACGTTTTCATGATAGCTGGGGTGATCCGCAGAATGTTGCCTCACCTGTCTGGGGTGCCCCACCTCCAGGTAAACAGGCCTTAAGTAACAGTACTATGGACCCCCACCGCACACTAGCAGCTACCAGCTAAGCTAATCTGGGCGGTTCAGTCTGTCAAATATTAGACTGCGATCGGACTTTTGTTTTTCTTTTGAGACACAGTAGATAGCATAATTTTTCTTTTTCAATCCCCGCGCGTGACTCTGAGAAAACTAAAGAAAAGCGCTCTCTTTGTACTTAAATATTTAAAAAAGGAGAAAATGGTACGCTGAGAAGGCTTAACACCAGATTTCGTTCATGAAGAATTTCTTAATAACAAGATCACAAGCGGACGTAAATTCCGAGAAAAGACCTGACCCCCACAGATTAACTTTGTGAGCGTTAATTATGCCAAATAACTGCAGGAAATTGTTCATTACCATCCACTTAATAACGACTTCGTCTCGGTGAGAAAAAGATACGTAAGGAAGATAAGTCCCTCATGTCCCTTAAGGTGTCGATAACGGTGTGAAACATCTTTACCGATGCGATAATTCTGAAAAAATTTGAAAATAACGGGGAGTAAAATTGAGGAGACTGAAATAGAGAGGTCTATTTGTATGAGGCTGGCTCCTTTTACGAAAGATTTTAACGCAGGCGCTTCGCCAAGGGCGCAACTACCCCGTTCGAAGAAAGCACGCCAATATCCTGAAAATATGTCGAAGATAAGTGAAAAAACAAAAAAAATGAAAGCCAGCGCAGGGAAACAGAAGGTTAATGAGGACAATGCAATTGCCCATGTAACTCTCGGCTTAAACTTGAGCTGCTGTGCATGTGTGCATGAGGAACACGATCGCGAGACCAAGAGAAATGGAAACTGAATTAAATCCCCACGAGACAACAACTTGATTGATGGGGTAGGGCTGATTTGAAAAACTGTGCGCACCTCTGAAAAATTTTTAACTTCGCCCCAGTTCGCGGCTCGCGAGCAGCAACTTAAAAAGAAACGAAAGAGAAACACTCGAATGTTTCGTAGTCGAAGGGAATAGAAAGCTTGAAGAAATTCTGTGATCGTCCTGCGAAATAGCTTTAGTTCTTACTGGTTTTGGAAACGTTTGGTGTAAGTTAACATGAGATAAAAACTATGTATGCACTGACATACAGTCAACGACGTTGAATTCGTTAACTTAGTAGAATCTTGGTGTTACTTCAAGACCATATCTTCGCGCTAATTTTGCATGTGGTTGCCTGTTTTAAATGGCATTTTACAATGAGAAAGTGATAAAATAAATTATTTGAACTGTCAAGCTCATAAGTACTGTGTAAAATAAAGAAAAAGTATTGTATTTTTTACAGGAAACCCAATTACTAAAGAGCGTTTTCACATGACAAGGTGGCCTTATTGGTGTCCCAAAACAATGATCGGCGGCCATGTTGGTGTTCCAGACCAAAAGAGTTGAACTCCTTTGTTATGTAAGCAATTTCTTTTGTTCCCATAAAATTGCATAGATTCTGGCCACGTGATTGAAAACGCTCTATTGACTATTCTTCGAAATATATAAAGAACTTAAATGGAAAAAATTCGGTCGTTTAAAAAGCCTGTCCAGTTTATTCTCTTTTGCTCTGTTTATTATTAGCCTATATTTACTGTTGATATTATTATTATTATTATTATTATTATTATTATTATTATTATTATGTAAAATTTAGCACAGGGATTTTCCCTGGGGAGAAATATCCAGCCAAGTCTCATCCCGAGACCTCAGACTTCCAGCACCTTTCTGAGGATATGTGCCGGTTTTTAATTCCTAGTTGCTCCAAGTGACCTGCCAGCTTCTTTGACACTGAATCCAATGCACCTACAACCATTATTATTATTATTATTATTATTATTATTATGGCAGTACAAAGGTCTGGGTGCCTAGAGTAAAAAATAAAACTTTGGCTGGGCGGCAAACCGTAACCAGCCGCAGCATGGACTAAAATTTATGGTAACAATTAGACAATAATTTGCGCAAAAAAAAATTATGAAAACCTGGGTAAAAACGATTTGATAAGAGTGTCATAAAAATTGAATAAATAAATAAATAAATAAAAACCTAAAAGCTTTATGGACGTCTTAATTACAAACTGAAAATGTTCGTAAGTTGAAACCCATCATTCATATAGCTGTCCATTTAATTATGGGAACGTCTAAGGTATGTAAATAAAATTTCGATAATGTACAAGATCCTGACAAGATTAAGTATCTGTTAAAATAGGTGTCCAAAATTCCTGTAGACATCTAAGCGCTCAGCCTTTATTATTATTATTATTATTATTATTATTATTATTATTATTTTTGTTGTTTGTTGTTGTTGTTATTACTATAGAGAGAGAATAACGGGAGAGCTAAAATACCACGCTGGAATCGCGCACTGAAAAGGCCAAAAATGCCGATAACACACCATTGTGAGTAAATCAGTGGAAGAAAAACCCGCTATAGAGTATATCCAAATCAGCTAGACAGACTGAAAAGAGTAGAAAATTACAGTGCATCGAATCAAGGCTCATCTTCTCTGAAGCTTCCCATCTTAATGGCCTAAGTAGAATGGCGCGAACGTTGACTTTCCACGCAGAATTTCTCGTCTAATTTTACAATAATTTTACAATAGCCATTTAGGGACTGGTCAAAAAGTATAGGGGGGGTTGGGCCGGAGCAGAGAGGGGGTGGGTCATGAGGTTTTGAGCCTTGTGCAATTTTCAGCTACCCTTAGGGGGTGGGTCACCCTATTTTATTACATAGATAGGCACTAACTACTAACTAACTACTTTTTTGGCTTTCTAGACGAACCTCGCGAGGAAACGCTTGCTGCGCAAGGTATCTCCAGGCTTGTCCTTTGACAAATCCTTTTTTAACATTTGGAGGGTGACACCAGATGAAATGTGTGTGCAAGAAGGTTTCCATTTGTTTAAAATGTGTCTTTGCATCAAGGATAGATTTTTCCTTGACTCTTGTGCCTTTGTATACAACCGTGTCTAAAACCGGCGCGGCAGTCTCAGTGTCAAATGTTTCGGCCATGAATTCAATAGTTGAGTGATGTAAGTTTGCTTGTTCAAAGAAGGCTTCGATGTCAGGTTTACTCATTTTCCCATAGGGAAAAGATATCGTGTATGTAGCATTTCCAAACTGTCGTTCCAAAGACAGTTTTGCTGAGAGTTGTTGTTTCAATATATGTGATAAAAAATATTGGCAAAGGAATCAAAACTGCTGTCTTTGTGCCCATTGCAGTTCCATGGTTTTGTAACTGGTGCTTTCCACTTAAGTGGAAGAAATTTTCTTTGAGGATTAATCTAAGCATTTCCGGCAAGTAATGTGTAGGAATGAGTTATCTGTTTAAAAATTTTCATATGCTTTGTGACAGACAATTTCAATATACCCTCGTTTTGCTGTATATTTGTGTCAAGACTCATAACGTCCATCGAAACAAGTAATGTTCGGTTTTTCACATTTGCCTTTTCAGTGAAAGGTATGATTTCTGTGATTTTGATATTGGTTGTAGCAGTGTATCAACAAATTTTGTCAAGCACAGAACAAGGTTTTATTGGATTATTAACAGGAAACCAAATATCCATGTTTTAACTAGGAGGTGGGTCATGCAATTTCCAACCTAGCTTTAGGGGTGGGTCAGTCATTTTTGTGCCGAAGGGAGGGGGTGGGTCATGTGTTTTTTATCAACCACATTTCCAAATGCTCCGGCTCACGCCCCCCTATACTTCTTGACCAGTCCCTTAACAGTTGCTTGCTTTGTGGCCTAGCCTTTGAATAGAAGCAAGCTGGAGTTGACTTTGCCTTGTTACAAATCTTCCTGTTCTTCACATGTAAATCATCATATCCACGGGCTTGGTAGCATGACAATTACAGGATTTGCTCATGAAAGGCTGGAAAGTTTTTTTATAAAGCAAGGTCACCTCCAGCCTGGCTTATATTCAAGGGCCAGGGGCCCGTTACTCGAAAGTCCCGGTATGACTTTTCGGGCCCGAAATCAAATATTCAAATCGAAATATAAAGAATAAGAACGCGGTTCCTGGCTGGCAAACTACCCTGTTTTGTTTCATTAACTGATAGTTTTGTCATGTTAGATTCGAGACTATTGAAACCTCGATCTTTAATCTAAACGGCAACAGCTTATCGGAGCCGTTAATTATCAGGACTTTCGAGAAACGGGCCCCAGGGCACTTATTGCACTTTAAAATGGTTTATACAGCTGCTCTCTGTACTGTCAGGGTGTCCTCAAAAGCGAAGTGTCCAAAAGGTGAGAGTTGAGCGTGTTTTATAAATTGCAGCAGTACCAACAACGCGAAACTTACTAGCTTGAACTTCCTGTACGGTAACATGGCCCTTCGTGTGTTGTAAATTTTAAAAAACAAAACATTAAAAGCGTGATATCCGCTTTGCATAAAAAAACAAAGGGAAAGACTTCAAGAGAACAAGCAAAGAATCGCCACCTGCGATGAAAGTAGAAAGCTTTGTCAATGTGTCAATAACGCGGGGTCAAATACTTCTAATTGACCACTCCAGAAATACCATAACATACCATAATGCTCTTTGTTTGTCACTCCAAAATTGTGCATGAGCATTGTCTTCAGTTTCTCTGGGGAGTTAAGATGGCCTCGAGAGAAACTAAAAACAATGCTTATGCAAAAGTTGGGGTGACAAACAATAAGCATTTTGGTATGTTATGGTATTTTCGGGAGTGGTCAATTGGAGCGCCATGTACTATTAAGTCGCACATGAAGAATTTGCATCCAAGTTATGAATATTTGATTCAGTTTGTTGCTTTTAATTACTTGGTTCGTCAAAGCAAATAACGGACATTTATAGCAAGATTCATCTAGCCACTTGCCTTTTAATTTACCCGCCGCGAAGTCTTGTTCGCTTCACATACCAAGCCTGAACCAAGTTTACAACGATGCCCACCTCACGTTTTGCAGTTTTCTTCTCTTTGGTCGTTTTTCAGGGCCTGCATCACGTTGCGTGCGGTAAGTTAATAAACTGTCCCAGTGTTAATCAAACGCTTAAGTTTTGATTTTTTGTTAGCAAGAATGGCGTTAGGTCACAAGGAGTTCACCTACTACTGCTCCTTTGCCTAACGCTTACTGCACAAATAATTAACTTTCTCCTAATAGCGGAGTTCTTGAGAAATCACTGAGTGCTAATTAATTGATTTTGCACGGTATAGTAACACTCAATGGAGTGTAGTAAAACTACGCAAAAGTGAGAAAACTCGCGTTTGCCATTTAAAAGGTTTCAGTTTCACTCAAGATTAAGCTGAAATGAGTTATCATTCACAATAATGAATTTCTTGACGAGGAATCCAAAAAACTAACATTATTTATTCGCCCCTTTTAAAATTTGTTTGCCTAAAGAAATTTGCATGACCATTGTTTCCAATTCCTCTCAGGTATTACAGTCGTCTCAAAATAAATAGAAAACTTGTTTAAGCAAGGTTTTGGGGGGCAAATGAGTTGTAGTATTATGGGCAATGCGAAAGTAAGACACTCTCGTTACTTGTGTGATCACTGTTTGCTTATAGGGTTATAGCGCGCCATTAGATGCTCGGCTTGTTTCTCTTTCTATCTTCTACCCTGCTAGCAGAGTCGCTTCGATCTTTCCTAGATAAGTCGGGAAAGAGGAAGCGACTTATCTAGGAGGATTGAAGGAGAGTCTGTTCGCAGGGTATCTATCTTCGTACCCTACCTGAAAATTATGGGCAAAGGACACTTAACACTAAACCCCATTCAGACCCTCTACAAGGGGTTTTGTTTTCAGTGGTTTAGCAATAATTTTACCCCCCTCCCCTGACACGCTCCTGTAAATGGACGGTAAACCACTAGGCAGGGCTCTGATCTGTGGTTCTATTTGTCTTTTCTACCACAGGACAGATTGATACTGTTGACTACATAGCGATCGGTTCTTCTCTGGGACTTGCAGTGTTAATTTTGACAGTACTTGGCTACTTCTTGTGGCGGGCGCAAAAAAGAAGCGACATGGGAGCGAACAAAGAAATGGGACAAGTAAGTTGCGTCAAGAGCCCATTATGGCTCTTGGTTGGGTAGCAGTTTTTTTTATTAATATTATAATTAATTAATATTAATATTAATATTAATTTTAATATTTATTATTATCATTACAATTGCCTTCTGTAACCTTCTGTACAGTTCTGAAATATAATAGTTAGTAAGTTTAGTTTTGGTTTAGGATATTTAGTAAAATCCAACTAGCGGTCTATTATCAATGCTGCGTTCTTATTGGTTGAGCTACTACTAGGCTATATGTTATAGCCCACTAGTAGCGAAAAGCCCGGGCTTTTTGGCGGCAAAATAGGATTAAAATCTAGCTTTAACTAGCTAAATTTTTTTATTCTCGATATTTTTGACCAACTAGTTGGATTTTACTAAAACAATTCTTCCTCTCGCCCTCGTGGCCTCTGAGTCAATAGCCCATTTGGCCTTCGGCCTCATGGGCTATTGACTCAGAGCCCATTCGGGCTCGAGGAATAATTGTTAAATATATGGCGTTATATTCCCGCCAAAATTCAAGCTATAAATGCTCGTTTTTCCAATCCAATATTTGACTTCTGTAATTCAACATTGCTCAATCACTATTCAACATTCATATTTCAAAAGTCAATATTCAACTTCTCAAGATTGCGCATTGACTTTGTGCAGTTGTGCGAAAGACGCGCGGTTATTCGAAAAACGCGCGGAGCTGGGGAGAGAGAGAGAGGGCGGTGGAGCCAGTACGCACTCTGATTGGTTGGTTTTAACAGAGCCCCCTTTTCCAGATCAAGCCCGTCTTACTTTCGTTTGATTTATTTCATTTCTCTAACGTCCCTACCTCCGAGAGCCTGGAACGGATGGTCCCTGTCTTTCTTTACTCTATTTAGTTGACTCTTAATAACTATTGACGGACATTAAGAGAGAATGAGCTAGATAGTTCATTCTCTCTTGCGGACATCTCTTCACGACGGACACGAAGATGTCGGTCTTAAGAGAACTGGCTGAGCTTTAAAAGTTTTGATAGCGTGTCTACTGCGACAAGCGACAAGCGTTAAGGGGAGGAAAGCTGGAGCTAGAAAATCATTAAGGTAGCGGAAACATCATTGAAACCGTTAAATGGTAATGTTGACTCCCTCTTCTGCTTCGGTTTGCAGGATAACCGTGTTTTTACAAATGGCAATGCAGTTGAAGAGGGAAATGTGCATGGGATAAGCATGAAGCAATTATCAACTGCAACCGGCTAAGAACTGATCATGCGTAGCTGTTTAACGTTTGTGAAGAAGACTATTAACGTGTGCATCACAGTTTGCTCAGTACTCGATCAGTTCTGTATACTGAGTGAGAATAGTAGTTGAACTTTTTTTCCTTTTCAGGCATGGTGCAATAGACACAATGTTACAGTTCTTTAATATTTACGGCTGATCTTAAAATTCCGGGGGGACTTCCATATACAAGTGAGGGGGATGCTCGTCGGAAAATTAAAATTAAACCACTAAGGGAGACCAGTGTGGGTGTAGCTCAGGTGACCCTTAAGCCAAAGGATATTTCTGTGTGGTCAGTGTCACGGCATTTTTTGTAAATTTCTTCATGCACAGCCCTATACGATACCTGAATGGGAAAATATAGTGACTTTCTGTCCCAATGTGAGACCAAAATATGCAATTTACATCCCTAAGCGAGACGAGGAGCATCCCCGTCACTTTTACATGGGTGGTTCTCCCCCCGGGGCTTGGAATCCCGATTTCTTGAGCCACCTTAGTAAAAGCAAATTGGTTCCGTAAAATCGGGGGTAATTAAAAAAATTACAGTGTTTCACTGGTCGAAGAAAAATTAAGGATGGGTCAAATTATTGGGAATTTTGAAAAACCGAGGGTTCGAGAAATCGGGAATTTACTGTACACTTCACCCAGACTTTCTGAGGGTGGTTTTAATCTAATGTGACGTCCAACAAGTTTTTTTAGTACAGTCACTGTGAATAATTTACATTCGGATTATCGTCATAGCTCACTGAGACAGAAAAGAAATAAATCCATCAAATTTTCCGAGATAGCTGAAATAATAGGGCAATTAACAATAGCTGTGTTTAGGATAAATTTGCTGTTGCCAGTGATTCGTGACAAATTGAATAATCACGTACCTTAGGATATTTTTAAAATTCATAAGCTACGGCAAAACCCAAGCATTCGCCAAAATATCGGCTGCAACTTTTACCGGACCTGATTTACTCTAACATCTATTCGCTTATGTCTTACTCTGTGTGTCACCTTTAAAGAAGCCCACAAGCTGTGTACTTATTTAAAAAAAGTGTAGACGATACACTCATTTTGCATGCATGAGTAGCGTGACCCATTTAACATACTGTTGACACTGTGAGCAAGTGGCGTGAGACCCGACCTTTACCCACAATCTTCTCGTTAAAAACTTTAAATTATGGCCTCTTCCAAGGACGTTGCAATCATCTTCTCTTGCTGTTTGTTTTTCCATGGACTATCTAAAGCTGCTTGTGGTAAGTATGGTTTGATTATGCTGTTAAGACCTCTAAAGAATGGAACACTTTAATGCTTGTACTTTTCTGTGGTAAACAAGCTGTTTTGACGCCGCTGCCGGGCGATTCAGTTTTCTGAAACATTCGGCAAAAAGTCCTCAGATTGGACTGATACGAAGAGCATTGTTTAAAGAGTTTTTCTAGTTGACTGGTTTCATCAATTCAGAGATCAAGAGCACCGTTTGGCGTTTATTGTTACGTAAAACATTAGCAATACCATAAGATTCTCAGCCACAAAGGCACTGATACAGAACGCCGGCCGGCGTTTATGAACTTTGGACCTGTAGTTTCAATCATGAGAATGCTAAGATTGTAAGAAAGTGATACGTAGTTAATTATTTCAAATACAGTATCAGTAATCACACTCTTGAACTTGTATGTCATCAAAACAAAAATAGATAACTCCAAAACGGCGAAATAGACCCAAGGCATTGCAAAAGCTAAGCAAAAGAGAGTGTATTTACTTCGTTTCATAGAATCGAAAAGGAAAAGAAACCTGATTCAACGAACTTAGGTTAAGGCTGCCAACGGTGCTTATGACACAGGACCACCAAGTGCAGGCAGACCTCTGCTCGATGTGACGCCATCCGGGGGAGCCGTAAGCGAGCGATCGATGTCGGGCCGTCTTATTCAGGCGCCGTGTCTAATCTTTCTTATTATTCATTCAAAATATGTCTCCGATTCTGATGGCTCAAACACCACGGATACCTAATTCTTTTTAGTATTTACCAAATCGATAAATAGCAATTTTCGCTCGTTTTGATTGGCTCCCGTAACTCGGCTATTCACTGTTTTGCGACCGGAACCAAGATGCCGTCGAAACATTTTCGGAAGACGAAATTTGAGCGATAAATGAAGCAGACGTACAAAAAAATACCAAGAAAGCGACGACCTTTGGCTTTACGGTGTTCACTGTTTGGTAGAAAATTATTTTCATCCTGAATTTGCAACAAAATCGTAAAATGCACTTGACAATCCCCGAAATGTTCCTACTTAGTGACGTTTTTAATTTACAAAGTTTCTTTTTTTCAGTTTTATCTAATTGATTTGAAACAACCATCCCCCTCAGGGTCGGTGAACACTTCCTCTTCGGCACCATCGCGTATCGATCGAGATATTATAAGCATGTTTAAGCATGTTTTTTTTTATTGATATTGTTTTGTTTCTTCTTTTAAAAACTAGGAATTATTTTGAGCGAATAATAAAGCAGTTATTGGATTCTGCTATCGTATGATTCTGAACCCCAGAAAGACATCGAAATACGAGCTAAGACAGAAATTGCAAGAAGCATCATTTTGATAAAACTACACTTCGTCAAACTTAAAAGTACCCTCTGCCACTACAATGTTTTAGTATTTTTACCAACGACCTCATTTATGGCCGTGTGTTCACGTTCACTCGCACACACTCTCGAAGCGGTCAGCATTAGATCCCATCGGCCGTAGCCCCTTTCTCCGCTCATAAAATTTACACAAGGTAGGCTGACTGTTTTCTGCTTTTATATCACACTTAGATGATATTTCAAGCTGGAAATGTTCATGAAAGTTCATGTTCTCTTCAATTTGAATTGATACTAAAGACAGTAGGATTCGAACAGACGACCCAGATGGTCCAGTATTCTACGCTAACCACTAAACCACTGAGGATTTGCTGGGTCTAGGTGAAATAATTTAAGTACATATAGCATCAACCCCAACCCCAAAAAAGAACCTAACCAGTTTCGAAACAGTGCTTAACCCTAATTAGTAAACTTCATGAGGAGTCCGAAGGGGCTACGGTCGATGGAATGCTAAGTATAACCTCTCGAAGCACACGCGAGAAGTTTATGGAAGTAGTTTCAGAATCACATAGTTACATGCAGTGGCAGAATTATTCCAAACTTCTCACGTCATATCAAGGCGTGGCTTGTATCGGCGCAATTTTAGAATACAAGTGTGCGAGACAATTTATTTCCATTTCAGTACCTTGTTTGTAGGTCCGAACTTTTTAGATTGACTCAGTCAGTTTGTGTTACATATAATATAGCCTCCCACACTAGCGTTCTTAGGGGTTCGTCATGCGTTCCTGCCCCACGAAGAACCTCTGCGTGGCAGGCTACATATGATCGCGATCGTCTTCACTCGGTCCTTATTTGATTGCCTTTTTTCCATTTGTAGGGGATCTTGAGAAGGATGACCGAATTGCCATTGGTGTTTCTTTGGGGTTAACAGCCTTTATTTTGTTATTTCTTGGTTTCTTCTTATGTCGCGCGCTTAAGGCATACACAACGGACACAAGGGTAAGAATATAACCCACATTAAAACCCCAAGGATATTCAGTCTCTAATAAACCGGCTCTATAGCCGGTATGTCCGGCCACCTCTTCTCGTCTAAAATTTGGTAAACATGACAGCTGTGTAGGTATGCTGAAATGAGATAAGGTTTTGTTCTTTTTGGAACCTGGGTTCCGTTTCTTTTTCTCCTCTTTTCAATTAAGGAGTTTTAAATCTGAAATGGGGTGGGGGGGATCTGATCTTTCATTAGTCCCCAGAAAAGTAGGAGTTTCAGGGAGGACGAGCACATCCCCAACTAAATGTTCCATGCCCGGAGCCGCCCCTGGCTTCCCTGAACGTGAGGACGAGATCACAAAACCACTGAATCTGAATTATAAGACTGCTAACATTCGCGCGTAAGGATGGTAAGTGCGAGCGTGTTTCTTCTCCCTTGCGCGTTTGTCTTTTGCGGTTCATATTTACAATTTATGAGAAATCCAACGAAGAAAATCTCGAATTACGCCTTATCCAATAATTGCCAATTATCTTGAACACCATTTTTGTTTCATTTACAAGCTTAGCTTCACTGAATAATCTGTAAGTTGTCATCTTTGGAGATTAGCAGGCTAGCTGACAAGGAGACGAATAAATTAATCTCTCTTCTATTTTGAACCAAAGGAAATTTTGAAATAACTGAATGAGTTCTCTCTCGATGATTGTTCGAAAGCTACGGTCTATGAGAATATAGACTAAGGAAAATTGTTGTCCATTTGTTAATGAAGCTACACACGATAAATGAATTAGTTAACTTCATTGTATCTCTTAATGCAACGCAGTCTAAGAAAGCAGCCGACATTTCGCAACACCACCAGTACCTTCCCTGCAAAATGACGTCTGAGAGAAAGAAACGTCCGCAGAAATCCATACTGCTAACGTGTAACTACCCAGCCAACTGGTTAGTGCTCCTGATTGGTTTTAGCAAATTCAATTTCCCTCACAGCACGACCAATCAGAAGCACTTCCCAAACATGCCGGGTAGTAACACGTCATCAGTATGGAATTTCTGCGCTCTTTCTCAGACCTTTGGTTTCACGGGGAAACCAGTGCTGGTGTCACGTAATCTCGGCTGTTTTCTCAGGCTAAATGCAACTCTTTCGTGTTTACGTTGGGAGGAGCCTTGCCTGACGACGCACTAAAAAGCGAAGCGGTAACAATTTGGAACATTTTCGCTGATTTGTTTCAATACCACCGTTACAGAAATATCCTGAAACAGATACTTTCAGTGCGCAACAAATTGGCGGTAAAGATTATAAACGTTTTCTAATTGTACTTTTCTTTCAGGATAATCCTTCAATAACTGAAACAGGAAGTGTCAGCATGATGCCGTTGCCTTCCTACAATACCCCTTCTTTGACTGAGACAGGGAGCGCTAGTTTAGAGAATCCTACAAATGTAAACAAGTCCTGGGTATCTTACGTTTAAGCGTCAACGTGGAAGAGACGTCCAGTTTTTACATTTGGGGTCTGGTACCCAAAGGCTACGTCGTAGACAGCCCTTTATCTTACGACGAAAAACTCCAAGGCAGCCCCGGGGCAATTCAACTCATCACTTCAGCAGACCTGTCGGCCACCAAAGGCAGTCACGTGCAGTGACGTAATGATGGTCTCTAGACTTCAAGACTCGATCAAAACGTCGAGAATAATAACTTGAATAATAATGAAGATATTTGTTCGCTACAGGCTATATCCACCTCCACAGACTAATCCGCTTGTTTGCAGTTCACGTGATGTCTTATGGACATTACCTTATAGAGTATATATAAAAACGTTGAATGATTATAGACCCAATGAAAAAGTGGGTGCTGGATTGATATTCTCTTGTTTGAATCAAAACTACGTAGCCTGACTAGCCTCGCTTGAGATAATGTATCCTGAATTTTGTACTGAAGAACTAATCTAGTCAGGCCAATTTTATATTACACAAAAGCAGACAAAAGAATATTCATCCGCCAGCCCTTTTTGCGTTTGGTATTTGAATTTATTTATTTATTTATTTTTAGTTTGCTATCAATATTTTATGTAGTGGAGGTTTAAATTACCTTAACAATTTTTTTAGGGGAATAAACAGTGAGGAGACTTTTCTTGTGTCAATTTAGGTTTCTGTGACACTGCCCACCTACCCTTTCCGTAAGCCAACATTTTGCCCTAAACGAGCATAAAGTGTTAATGTTGGCTTAGGGGAGGGGTAGGTTGGCAGTTTCCCAGAAACTAAAATTGATCCCTTTTCTTAAATGACGAACTGAGGAACTGGGACCTGGAAATGGAGATCGGGGATCGGGGGACGCGGTACGAGCACGAGGAACGGGAAACTAAGAAACTTGGAGCAAACCTAGCCCTATCAGTAATCCCCAATTCATTCCCTTTTTGTTTTTCAATTTTCATTTTCCCATTTCCCGTGCTCGATCCACATTCTCGGTTCTCCATTCCCAGTTCCTCCCTCTCCGCTTCCAATTTTAGTAAATTAAAGTCCAGTAATAAAACTCAGGATAAAGCCATCAACGCCTCCCAAAACGCTTCATTGAAAATAATATTTGAACACAGTAGCTCTGTGGAATATTGCATTCCGTTTACCAAGTTTGACAACAAAAGTGGAACATGCACGATTATCACCCAAATGCATTTATCCTAACTATGGCTGTACATGTCATAAATTTCAAAATGACTCGTCTTTTTCTGATTCTTGAAGGAACGCCTTATTCTAATAGCAAAATCAACGAAGCAGGGAAAACAAAGGTAAAGCTTACATGCGTGACGCACTAATATCACGAAGTGAAAAAAACCTGCATGACTGCAAGATCGCGAATCTTGTATTTACTACAGACACTACAACATTTGAAGCTTTAAACAATGTATTCTTCAAACGTTGGAACTCTCGCTCTTTGTTGTTTCTTCCTCCTGGGATTTACTGAAGTTACTGGTAAGTCGAGTCCTTTTTTATGAAAAGCCCTGTAGCGATTGACGCCGGCCGGTTTGTATACTGATCCGTTATTTACATATACTACAGTCATCTCTGTCAAAAACGGAAAGCGTGAGGACAGAGGCAGTTCTAGTTACCGTCTGTCTGTCGTTATGTTGGTTATGGGAAGGGAAAGAAAATTATAAAGGTCGAGGAGGGGAGAAAGTAAACAAAAAATTAGCGAAAAGGGATAAATGAAGGATGACGTTGATGGGGTGTACAGAGCAAAACATGTGCTTGGAAAATAAGGATGGAAGAATACTTTGAGCCGGTTCGGATGGCAATTTCCAACGAAGTTTCTTTGTAGTACTTGCGTGTAACTTTTTCTTTTAACCAAGCGGCAGATTGCAGCATTTTAGTATTTTAGAATGAATAAAATAAAATTGATGATAATTACGTTCTGTATCAAGTAACTCACTTGTTCGTTGCGATCATTCATTGACTTTTAATTTGATATACGTCAACACTGAGTGTTAGTAATGTGTGTGAAAAACTGTATGGACTGCATGCTGGAACATTCCATGAAGAATTCTTAATACATCTTAGTCAGCTTAAATGTCACCAAGTCAAAAACTGCACTTTTTTAATTTCTCAGTTGATTTAAAGTACAAACAGGCTATGTAAAAATTTTATGACGAATCATTACATCAAAGGGCACAATCAAGTATAAAACTCATTGAATCGTGTCGATCAAACTGATATCATAGTTAGTGCCGATAAAAAAATATAAATGTTAATTAAAAAAAAAAAAAAAAAAAATTGCATAATCGCTTGAGCTTGGGGCCAAATCATCAACTCGCTTAATTAATTAAAAACTCCCCGAGAATTACAGGCTAGGAGAAGAGAGGAAAATCATTTTTTGCTCTCTGCCTCTCCATTTCTCCAGTTTCTCAGAATGTGTCTCCTTCTTGCTCGGCTAAAAATCGCCTGTTATTATTTATTCAAAATATTTCGCCGCTGATTGGCTTAAATTCCCCAGGGGCCAGCTAGCATTGCCTGAATTTAATTGGAAGATATTTAGCTGATATCAATCGACTTCTTGCTTCAATCGTATTCTGATAACCACGGGAAAAAACAACAAACAATAAGTTTAAAAGTTTTTGTCCCCTAACGAACTGAACATAACATTTTCATTTTTAAAATTTAACATAGCTCTTGCGGGAGCACAGAACGGCCTCTGGTAATCGAGTCTATCAACTATGCGTGATAAAATTATTTTTTTAGCAGAAAATGTATTTAGTAACGATACTGAGATTTCACACAGTAGCTTTCTGGACAGTGTGTAGTTCGCCAAAGTGATTTCGCAATGTTCGATCGCCTGCCAATTTCTACAAATCAACCGGCCAGTCAACGGTACGTCCAGCTGATTTTTGTTTTCGTTGCTACTTAATTATAAATTACCCGAATTAAGCGTTTTCGACATCACGCGAAGCTTTTCTAAACGCTTTTTCAAGAACTTTTGTTTCCCTGAAGCGCTCGTAATCTGCAGAAACGACGACGTCTGAGGTCTATGACGTATTTCCGTTTTCTTTCTGCTAGGTTCGTGTCCAGGCTTCTCGCGGGTTGAGTTTTTTATTACAAATGCGTTCTCCTGTCGTCGAAGGTAATAAGTTGCGTTAGTATTAGAACAGTACGGTAACGTTATTTTTAGACTGCTGCTTACGTTTAAACCATTCTCGGAGACCCATAATTTTTTAAAGGGATTAGTTTTTGTAATTCTTTTTTTAGTGAAGGGGATGAATATGCCGGAAATAACAATTCAACAATCTTCCTTGGATTTGGCTGCTAACGTCACTGCGGCCATTTTGGTTTGCAAGAACAAAAGCATTTCCCTCCACTTCCTAAACCATAGTTTCACGCAAATTCTGCGAAGAGAGCGAACTGACGGGAGAATATGTATTGTTCTGCGAACCAACATGACCACTTTCACGTTGTTGCAAACCAAGGGTATTGGATCACTGACGTTGTTGAGAAGAAATGAAAAAGAGCGATCGTTGTGGGGGGTTCGTTGTCACGATAGTTTCAGTACTTTGCTATTTTTTTTTTTTTTACCTTCTTTCTTTCAATCTTTCTTTATTATTTTTTATAGCTACGTTTGGAACGCTTACTGCTGGTCTTAAGCCTAATAAAGACCAGTAGTTCGCGGTCGAAACGTCGTGATCTTTAACAATGTGACCGTCGTGAGACAACGTTAAAACGAACCCTCATACCTGACGATTAATTAATAGTGTCTTTCATTACCACTGAGTACTCGCGCAACTGACACGATATTCTTTTATCCTGACCCTGGCCCTGGCCCAAGACTAATTTTTCTTTTTTCTTAAAAAAGAAATTCCAATTTTTATTTTTAATCCTTTGATGGGATTAAAAAAACAAGAATTAGCCATACAGGAAATACAAGCTTAGCTTTACCTCACAATTGCGTGACTTCCTGACGAGGAACAAACCAGGGGCCGGGCACAAACTCAAAATGACTTCATCATTGAACTACTTGAATTAACTACAACATTTGAGTCAGTCCAACAATGTATTCCTCCGACGCTGCGAACTTGTTTTTTTGTAGTTGGTTTCTCCAGGTCCTTCCTGAAGTTACTGGTAAGTCAAATTCTGTTTCGGGAAAAGCGGTATGGCAGTGATTAACGAAATTGTAAACTTGACTGTGTTACTCAGTCGACACTTTCGAAGATAACACACACTTAACGAGCGATACACATTATTCATTAAATTTGGAAATCTGACTGAAGAGTAATGGTAGTCGTTTACAAAATGCCGTTGTGCAGTTGCAAGCTGTCAGGGTCTACTTTTCAGACTTTTTTGGCTTCTATACGTACCCAAACTACCGGTCACAAACTAATTGAAACTTCGTGTCAAAGGTCATCTAAAATTTTAAAGCAAGCTTAACTCACTCGGACTAGACGCTCATATTGTTCTTTTTTTGTTTGGGCTAGCTACAAGGCAACAACAATAACAGTTTTATAGCATTTAGAAATTTTGCTCTGTGCATTGGTATCTGTTTAATGGTATTGTAAAAATGAAGTTTCTTTTTCCGAAAATAAGTAAGATTTGGTGGTTGATCTTGAACAATTCTTAAGAGACACTGGAGACGAAAGCTTTAAAATCATGAAATTTGAATCGTACTTATTCAACGGAAGTTTTAATCTTCTATGATGTGCCCAGCAGTACGTCAGCAGTGCTAGGGATTTTGCGAGACTCTTGATTTAACGATTTCCTAGAAAATTAGGATTGGAGATTGAGAGAGGATCAAGGATCGAGAATCGGGGATCAGCGATTAAGGATCGTGGATCGATGATAGGGGATCGATTTTCTTTTCTTTGTTTTTTTTTTTTTTTTTTTTTTTTTTTTTTTTTTTTTTTTTTTTTTTTTTTTTTTTTTATAATAATTTTTTTATTTATTTACAACACAAGCACTACTTACAAAATGTTACTTAACACAACTTACAGTGCTTACACTACTTACAACACCGTACTCATTACTTTTTTTACATAGAAAGAAGAAAAGAAAGTTACAATTACAATTATTGACGACTAATAACTTAAACTAAAGTGATTACTAACATAATTTACAATACTAACACTATAAACACAGAGGCAACAGAAAAGTATAAGAGGATTATATATAGATTAAGTATAAGTGTTTTTCTTTTTATTTAGAAGGATAAGTAAAGAGAACTGAACGGCCTAGACTGTAATAATAATAATACTAATAATAATAAAGCGTTACGCGGTGCACAATATCGCCCATTTTTTATAAAAGTCACTTAAAGTTCTATTTTTGGTACAAATATATTTTTCTGTTTCGAATTTAATATTAATCCTTAACTTAAACCCTGCAATAATTGGACGAGTTTGTGATCTTCTGCAATCCCATATATATAGTTTGGCTATTAGTAGAAAGTAGTTCAGTAAAGGGCATTGTACGGCTATTATACCTAATAGCACATCCTGTAGACTAAGGTTGATCAATTCATTTGACAACGAGTAATAATATAATTCAAAATCCTTCCAGAAAAGTTTTGCATATACACAGTCAAAAAGAAGGTGGATAAGGGTTTCCGGTTTATACATACAAAAGGAGCATTTATCATCGGTAATATATCCTATTTTATATAACTTAGTGTTAGTATATAATATGGAGTTAAGGACCTTGTACTGAAAGGCCTTAACATAGAATTCAGAACATATGATGTGCGGTAAAAGAAATGCTTTTTCTAGCTGATCTTCCGTCAGATTAAAATCCCGTTTTAAAGCTGAGGTATTTTTAGAAAGCTGTGCCTTTTTACTTATGAGCAATGAATAATAATCTTTTGATTTCTTCTTTAAAATATCAAAGTCGTTATTCTTAATTATCACGGAGGGTGGCATTGTTAAAAAGGTGTGATCAGATGTTCTAGGATTAGCTTTTAAGTGGGACGGTACAGCATATCTGAGACCTGCCCATACTAAGAAATTGGTTTTTTCAATCTTTCTTATAATGATACTATGTGACTCTGCAATACTTAAATCAAATCGAAGATCGGAAACCAGAAGAAAACCATTGTCGAAAAATGTTTTGTAAAAATTGGCTTATTATTTATCCTAATGTCTTTATTATTCCAAATAATATTATACCGCATTTTATCTGTAGAAAAGTCATCACGAAAATCAGCCCACCATTGAAGCAGCTCGAGTAAAAAGGTGATTTGATTAGAACGTCTTTTACATCGTAGTTACAATGAAATAGAAAGAGGCCCCCCGAAACTTTTAAGTTGATAACGCAAGTAATTCTTCCATGTGCTGTCGTTTTCGCTGAAGATTCTCTTTAGCCAGGCAAGTCTTAAAGATTTGACCATCGTTTCTAGGTCAATCATTTTCAAGCCACTTTTTGGTAGTCATTTATTGTTGACAAACGTGTGACCTTGTCAACACCTCTCCATAGGAATTTAAATATCAATCTGTTCAATTCTTGAACCGCCCACTTTGGAATTGTTAATAATGATGCCACGTAAACAAATTTTGGAACAATCAACGATTTGATAACAGTAACCTTTCCATAAAGGGAAAGACCTCGCGCAGACCATATGTGTACCAATTTTTTCACGCTGTCTAGTCTTTCTATAAAATTTTTCTCGTGTAGTAATTTTTGATCATAGGTGTAATAGACTCCGAGAGCTTTAATTGGTTCATTTGGCCATTTAATACCAAAAGGTTTTGATTTATTTTCCTTTAATGATCCGATCCACATTGCTTCAGTTTTTGAGGGATTAACGGCTAAACCTGAAATCCTCTTAAAATCGTCTAACAACCTGAAAAGGGTTTGGGCTGAGTCGATGTCTGACAGAACCACAGTTGTGTCATCTGCGTATTGAAGTAATTTTGTTTCCTTCTTGTCAATAGTAATACCTTTTATCATTGGATTTTGTCTTATTGCGATAGCCAAGGTTTCAACAGCTACTACAAAGAGATAAGGAGAAAGAGGATCACCTTGCCTAACTCCTCGTTCGACTGTAAAGTAATCAGAGATTATGCCATTGTTGATAACACAGCTTTGTATATTTTTGTAAAAAGAAGAAACCCATCTAATAAAGCTCTGGCCAAAATTAAAAGATTCTAGACAACTTTGTAAAAAGCTGCGTTCTAAACTATCGAAAGCCTTCTGAAAATCGATAAAGATCAACAAACCAGGAATGTTTTCTTCAACAGTGAAGTTCATTATGTCAAAAATCGATCGTCTTTTCTTTGTTGCTTTTGTCTTTTTGTTTGTTTGTTTGTTTGTTTGTTTGTTTTTATCATAACTGTGTGATGTACCGGTCAATTTCAAAACTGCCTATCCCGTCCTCCTGGCGCATATTCGTTTGCGGTCCTTTGCAGTTTAAATGTCAATTTATTACTTATTTTTTGGGGCCGTAGGTCCATTATAGATCCGATATGTTGTTCCTTTTTTTCATGGTTTTGCCCATGTTTCTAAGGTTGGTTTTGTCCATCCAAGACATCATAGACATGCACTTGGACTCTTGCCCTCTCTCGGACACGTGATATGGCGTGATTCTGTGTGTTTGAGTTCGGTGTCAGGGCTCCTAAACAGAGTGTGCGGGAATCGAATTTTAGAGCAGAGCGTCTCTGTTCGTTGCGCCGTACTGAAGAGCAACAAAAATGGGGAAACAGCTGTCTACTGCTACGACCCCGCTCTGTTTTTGCTTATTCAGAGTCGTGTTGATGTCTTGCGAAGTTAATTTTCACTTAGTACAATCAGCTTTGCAGAATTCAGTGTGTATACCCCAGGCATTTGACTAAAGTTTTGCTCCGTACAGTGGGAAATTATGAGGCCCGCTCAGCTCAGTCGGGCATTTGAGCTTCGTGTCAAAATGCTGGTCAGCAAAGCAAAAGGATTTTGTAATTCTTTCGGCTTTTTGAACGGTGTACCGCGTTCACAGGCCATTCCTCCTATTTTTACTGTTTTGTTAGAGCATTTATTTGAGAGCCTTTGAAAAAGCCCGTTTAATGTTGCAGTAACGTGGTCTTTCTGGAATGAACAATTTCATTGAAATGAACAAACCTCCGTAAGACAGTTTTCCGAGAGTTAAGCTAAATATTTCAGTTGTGTCTAGAAGGATATTTACATTTGAATAAAACGGTAATGACTCATGGAAAAATTTTGGAATGTAGTCGTTGGTGGGTGGGGGATTTGACGCTCTTAACCGGTGGGGCATGTGCATTTGACCAACTAAACAGCTAAAGTTTTTCAAAAAAGTTAAATGCAGGGGGGAGGGGGAAGGCTGGGCATGGGTGGTTTTGGGATTGACTGGTACATAACAGAATCATAACAAACCGAATTCTGACGCAAAGTTCATAGATTCGTCGTATGGAATTGTATTGTGTTGCATTACATTGTATTGTTGTATTTTATTTATTAAAAACTTAATTTATATTAATCAGAAAATTGTCGACCGACTTTTCCAAATTTTATTTATTTGTTGCATGTTCTTTTTTTTGCAGGAGATCTTGGAACACAGGAAAGCATCGCTGTCGGCGTTTCCTTAGGATTAACAACTTTTATCGTGTCATTTATTGGTTTCTTCTTGTGCCGTGCTCTATATTTTGACAGAGGTGTAAATTTCAAAGTAAAAGACGTTGATAAAGTGAGTATATTATTCGTCATAAGTTTGCACCACGCAACAATGGCTAGGTACAAACTTCGTCGTCATCACTATCATTATCATTATTGTTAGTGTTCAGTTCATGAGAGCGTATTTCTTCTCCAGAGGCGGGGTCCAAACCTTCAACCTGGGGCGCTTGATAGTTGCTCTGTCTATATTGTCAGTTGATGGATAGGACCGAACTTCCCACCGGATAAAAATCTATCCAGTGGATAACGCAGTTGGTTTCCCTAAGACATATCCACTGGACAGTGATTTATCCGATGGATAGCGCTATCCAACGTTTGAACAACCGGGGCCTGACTTTTATACTTGAATTCTTTTTTCGAAACCTTGGTGGAAGTGATCTACTATTATTATTATTATTATTAATATATAGATTTAGCCAGGGCTAAAAGCGAAGCTCCATTAATAAATTTGTAATTTCAATCAAACGATAAACTTGTATTCTGCAAATCAGTTCACTTTAGAGCACATTCATGTTTTTTGTACATCACATCTGACAGTCTGAGGTGAAACAGTACTACGAGGCGCTGTTTTTATCATACAGACCTCAGACAGAATGCAGTATTTCACAGTTTTGAAATATAAATTGCAATCATTCAATATTCAGGACGATCGAAGCACGCGTGGGCTTTTAGCGAAACCGCTAAAAAAAGTTCCAAAATCACCTATATAACGGCCGGCCAGTTGCAAGCTGTGGAGTGTTTGAATGAACATTAAGAGAGTTACACTTCAACATAATAAAGAATTTATTGTGTTTTTTTATTATTATTATTTAATGGTTTTATAACGATGTGTAAACTTAACAAGCGTTTAATACGCGCGACGTTTTGAGTACTCCTGCAACTGAAAACATTAACGGCAAATTGCAAGAGAGACTACTAACAATCAATAAAAGAAATATAATTCGGTGAAACATTTACAGAGAAAACAATTTTCATTCACGAAGACAATTAAGTATTAAAGTGTCTCTAAGAATCCGGAGTCTTTATGCTTAAAGCCAAAGTTTATGTTTTAAAGCCGGCTTCCCGGTGTTTGCTGTTTTCAAATATGAACTTGAGGCGAGAAAATTGCGCAAAGCTTTCTTTCTACAGCCAAAATAAAAACGCAACGTTTTTTTCTTTCTATTTGCGGTGAGAAAATATCGACTAAAGACTTTTTAAAGTTCTGCAAGCTTAAATCAAACCTCATACTATAGGTCAGATCATTATCTCAAATCTTAATTCAAACATGCATAAACTATAGCCTCATAAACTGCGCTCGGCTTCATGAAATTAGATATATGAAAAAAACAAATTCAAATACAATAATCACTCAGGCAGCTCCTGGAAGCTACATCGCTTCAGACTTTTCAATCAAGCAAGGTGAAAAACGAAAACGAGCCGATGCTATCCGAAATCGGATTTCCGACTTTGACAGGCGACGTATTTCTCAACCAAAAACCCAATAGACAAACTAGCCATGAATAACAGAAGACTCTTGATAGTGGCTGAATTTCATTTCGTACATCCAGTAGAAAAAGACAGTTAAAAACATCTCAAGTTGACACAAAACTCTGTCAGCTTCAGCTGTCACAGTAAACAAGTTTCAAGATGCTGCATAAATTTTCCGCGTAAACTCACCTGTCAAATTTTGCCAATCAGAGCATAAAAATTGGACGTAGAGCGTGACCGACGCGTTCACTGACGACTGAAAACAACAACTGGCAAAGCGATCATTTAAGAACGAGATCTTGACAAACAATCAAGACAAGAAATATAATACGAAGAAACATTTAAAGGTCAACAATTTTTATTCCCGAAGACGTGTTTTGAGAGTAAAGCTGAGTCACGAATACATTTAAATATTAAGCCTTAAGTTTTAAGCCGCCTTCGCCGTGTTTGCTATTTTGCAAGATGAACTCCAGGCAAGAATTTCGCTCAAAGTTTTCTTTTTACAAACAGTAGGATAACTAAACTATTTTTCAGAACTTTTTCTTCTAGTCGCCGTCAGAAAATGTCTGAAGACTTTTAAGTTCTTTACTAGGTCAGATAAATTGATTCAAACCTTACTAATGTGCGTAAAATGACGGCATAAACATGAAAAAAGAAAACACATAAGATGCAATAAAATTACTCAAGCTTACCGGTCGAGATGCAGCACGGAAACCCATCAAGTAAGGCCAGAATCGCTTAAGATTTTTCGCATGGTCCAGCAAGGCGAAGTAAGCTTATTAAGAGTAGCTTATTTTTGAAAACGATGATTCCCGATTTCTTTTTGTCATGGGGCGCATTTCTCAACCACAACCCAGTAAACAAGCCAGCCAAGAATAACAAAAGAATGTTGATAGCTGCTGTATTTCATTTTGTAGATCCAGTGCAAAAAGACAGGTAAAAACATCAAAAGATGACTCAAAACTCTGTCAGCTTCAGCTATCAGTGAACAAGTCGCAGATGCTGCATAAATTTTACACTTGAATCCTCTTCGCTAGCGTGCCTGTTAATTCTTACTCTATGCCTTTCTCTTCTTCTCTTTCCCGTCGCTTTTCACTTACAAGCAAATAGTTTGAATCCAATCCGCTATTCATTGCCATAACAATTTCTTTGAAACAGTTTACTAGAAACTGAGCTCTCCGGACACAAAATCCTTATGCAATGAAGTAGTTCCGTTGAAGTAACATGTTTTTGAACGCGACGACAGCAACGTCATTTCTTGCGCGATTTTCCTCCAAGAAACAGGTGGGTTGCACAAATGCATCGCGCGATTTATAACATGCTCCTCCCCCGGACGGGCTGACACCTGATTCCCTTCCCTCCCCCGCAAAGAGTGTACGGGCGTACGCTACGTCATAACCAAATTTTCTCGGATGGATGGTTTACCAAATTTTATTACCCATGGTGCTCCGCTGGCGCGCTTCGCGCGCCGGAGCTCCGCTATTATTATTATTATTATTATTATGGTTATCATCATCATCATCATCATCATCATCATCATCATCATCGTCATTGTCATCGTTGAAAAGCCCCTTTGGGGAGGTAACAATACAGTATGTACAATTAAGTTTGTATGTATCGTCATCGTCATTATCATTATCATTATCGTTATCGTTATCATTATCACCATCATCATCATTATTATTATTATTATTATTATTATTATGATTGTTATTATTATTATTGTTATCAGTTACACTTATTATCTGCGTATTTCCAGGATATTCCTGCTGAAACTGGAAGTGTAAACATGGAACCACCGCCTTACCGATACAGATATCAGAATGCTTTTACGGAGACAGGAAGCTTTCATATGGAAACTTCGCCGTCCCCAGCGCATTACCAAATAGTTAGCCATGTTTGAAGAGCGGAAAAAAATATATTATGAACACAACTGAAACTGACCGAGGAAGGGCATTTTGGGTTTTGACAGCGGTTTTTCGAGCGGTCTTTGACTCTTGTACCTCGTTGTTTGCTCTGAAATCAAACGGGAACGCTTGCTACGCAGGCTAATTTTTTTGTGGATTGATTCTTTGGCCATCATTAACCAGAAGTAAAAGGGTCAACTCTGAACATCCAAGGTCGTACCTTGCGATGTTCGCGACCTGTAGTAAAGGAGGTCTATCCACTATGCCGTGCCTTTTTTCGTGTATAGATTGTACCTTATTAACGATCCCCAATCTTAGTTATTGTCAGCTTTAGAAAACTTGGAAATGGAGCGTTTGGTGGACAACCATAAACTGGCTTAATATGTAAATCCCTTTTATGGTATTTGGAAGATAAGGCGGCGCACTGTCTGCATATTACCGCTGTTTTAAAGTCTTAAATACTCCCTTAAAGTGTAAATTCTAAATCTAATTAATAGGGCGAAGAACAGTTTTATAAAGTGTATTCATATAAATAGTTATAAAAATAAGTATATCCGAATATACTTCCACATGTTTTATATTTAACAACTGTGGCAATTTTTGAATGGGTTTAATACGCAATTCATCGACAATTCAGCTCATGGCTGCTACGTATTTTTGAAATAAAATGTCTATATCTATGTGTCTGTTTATCTACTGATCCGTAAGTAATAGTCTGGAATAACTAGCTTAACATTTCACCGATGAAATATGCCACTCAAAATATGCCCAATATAGTGAGCCTAGAAAATGGCAATGAAGAAGCTGTGAAACATAAGCGAAAATGTTCGACAATTTCTGTTCCTAACAGTCCTCGTTCACTGCTATTGGAAACCGGCGTTTTTGAAAAATACACTCCGAAAAGTTATGTCTTCGGTGACCGTCTCCGTCGGACGTGTGTGGCCGTGAAGGCTATTCCGAGAAAAGAACGCCTGGGGTTTCAAGAAATAAGGATGCATCTGGGCGAAGCCTCAAATTTGTTCAGACCATTTTATTTGCTGTATTTGTTCTAAAAAGTTGTGACGCCCTGGGGATTTTTTTTAAGCCAATTGGCCAACGGATTTTCTGTGTGATGGATTCTTGGACTGAACGCATTATTTTGGAAGGTATTTAACTAATGCAAACAATAATACTAGCTTACAGAAATACAATGGGTTTGAATTTGTCCGTTGTCACTGGTTGCGGTAATAAATCAAAAAATTAGTGAAGACTTCAACACTGTTTTGTTCAAAAGCAAGTACTTTTTAAAGTATTCTATTTTTCTCTATTGAAAGATATTTAAAATGACCAAATTATTAAAACATTAATTTACAACATTTAATAAAAATATTTGCAAATAATTGTTACACCCAAATAAGGGGAAAAAAGGAAAAGTAAGTAACATGAAACTATGATATTTTGCAGAAATTAAATGTGGTGCAAATAAAATTGAAAAAAATTGCTCGATTTGTATTCTCAAAATTGCATTCTTGTGACGTCACGGGATGTTTTTGATATGTCACTAACAGAAGTAGGAAGTTTGGTCGAAAATGATAGAAACCGTTTCCGCTGTGCGGTCAAGGGTGCAACGTCAAATGGGATAAGCAGTTAGAGTAGTAGTAGATGTCACAATTTATGACTTCAAAAATACCTTACCGTTAAGATCTGATTAAGACCGCCTCTAAAATAACCACGCCCCCCATGATATAAAATCCGCCAGTATAATAGGTGCCCCCATGACAGTTGCTCCAAAATACTAAGAAATAGCAAAAAGAAGCAAAATCATTCAATTCATTCGGTTTCATGCTTGATCGATTAACTAGGGTTTGCTCATTACATCTCATTCAACATCAAGTTCAAAATAAGGATAGACTAACCATGATAATTAACAATGACATCAAAGTCCTGAACGAGGATTTTGACATCGAAGTTGAGATTTGAAAGAGCGATATGGACCTCTAGACGGCCAGTAGACGTAATCACTTGATGGACTGGATATATTCCGCTATTTATAAACTTTTTTGACTCTTTTCGCCGACAGCATATTATGTTTTGTAAAAATTGTTACAAAAATTAAGGAACAACTAAAACACCTCTAAACTTAATTAACACCTTGATCTCAGGCTCAATTAAACGCCTCCAGTCCTATCTTTGAACACCCCCGTCTAGACCACTAGAATTAAATAATATAATCGCCTCTAGAATCTATTAGATCATTTACGATACGCACGTTTACTAATACGAAGAGTGAGGGATTTCAAACATATATTTAGAGGAAAAAGACAATCGTGAAACTTCATCACTTCATTTTCTGCCATAGTTTGAGAGATAATGGTAACAATCCATGCATGTTTAAGAAAATAGTTTGAACGAATTATTCTTGCCCTTTCAGTTCATATCCCCTTGGCTTCTCAGATAACTATTTGGTTTGAATATTAGAATGGTCCAAGTGAATTTAAGGATGGACTGAGTACAATCAGTGACTTTAAATTTCTTCTTAATGTTAGATTATAAATTTTTAAACTCCCTTTCGGTGGCTTCGTCACCAAAACTGATACAAGCAAAATATTAAACAGAATCGGGTGTCTTTTGAATGACAACGTCTCCTGCGGATTCGACCCAGAGCAAAAGTCGCAACGACTTCATTTTAAAGGGATGAAATTTATTGAACAATAAACTAAGACAATAATTTGACTCCTTTTGAAGTCTGCTGGGAGGTTTTATTCTTTGAAGCCGATATTATGATCATGGAAAAGGAAGGAAGGGACGAACCGAAACAGGTTAATAGTCCAATGAAAAGAGGATTGCATTCCCTCTCATACATCGGACGAAATCGAAAGAAATTTCCACCCGGAACCAAACCGAACTGAATGGATCAAATAAGAAGGCCCTCGTTATTGTCGCAAGATAGCGAGATAGAATCCTATGCCCGTCAGATAGCAGAAGTAGCCAGTGTCTCATTTGCTTCCGATCCTTGTTTTAAACGGCGCCGATTAATTTTAGCCAATCTCAATATTGTTCTTGAGGAATATTTGTCAGTTGTAATTTTTGATATTAGCCATTCTAAATTTGTCTTTCATAATTACGTCGTGTGCTTTGCATTTTATTTTACGTCTACATTACCTTGCTTATTCATGTTACCATATGTGCAGTGATTTAACTTCCGAGTTTGACTAACGTGAGCGCGCTTGTTGGAGTTTAATTTTCTTACGCCCAGTCCGACTTTGATCAGAAGACGCCGAGGTGTACTAAGTTGCCCTTGGAAATGGCTCATCGAATATAGTTCAAGATTGTAATGTCGTAAACCTCCACACTGAAGACGGTGAACTTGATTTCCTTCTATTCACGGCAGCTGGCATGAGAAGTTTGGAATAAATACTTCCTTGGTCGACCTACGTGAAACTAAAAACAAAAAACAATCTTAAACTGAAAAGAATATAACAGAAATTATATAAGGGAAAGAAAGTCCCAGCAATTGTACATGTGTGCCAAATGATTTCGTATTCTTTATGGCAGTTTAGAATGTTGAATCTATTTTGGCTAGGAATAGCGTGTTTTACTTTGCTTCAAGACCCCGCATCGGCAATAACTGGTAAGTAAAAAAATTTAGCTATAGATTTGTTGTTTAAATAACAATTTTATGTACTTTAAGGTGTTGACTGTCATCGTTTAATTCATCGTTATTTTGGTAACAGCCAAAAAGGCATTGCGATACCTTAACTAGTATTGAGCTCGTATTGTTTTGGTCGATGGCGTAAACTATCTCACGTATGAATGGTTTTTGAAAAACTTTTAGAGAACATTGTTGGACAGTTGTTGGACTATGAAAGCTTCGGCATAACAGGCATGGAGCTAAACTATCCACCGTTTAAGATTTCATATAAAGGATGGAAAGTAAATTATACTCTACAGTCCTTAATAAATTTGATGATGCGATAAGTAAGGATTGCTATCGAGATATTATTAAACTGTTTTGATATCATCCTTGTACTAGAAGGGCGGGGCTGGGTGTGGTGTCAGTCATTTGAAATTTGTGACTTTTGAGCCGTGCAATTTTGCTGTTTTTTTTTTTAACACCTGCGGTTGCAGCTTTTGTAGTAACACTTCAATGGTATAAGGAAAGAAACTTTCGAGTAGTACAAAAGTAATTCCGCTTTCACGCTTCTGAGTAGGACCACTATCGTAGTTCGAAAAATATCAGCATCATGTTTATTATCCGATGCACAAATACTGAGAAAAACTGACAGATAATGATAGTGATAAACATGCACACATAGCAGTGATTGGATATGTTTACATTGTTGATGATGATTGTTGTTTGTTTTCTTCAATACTTTGGGGCAACAAAGTTCATAAACGCCTTTTTCGATTTCAGAGGTGAAGTGAGAGCCTATATATTGGGTATTTCAGACGAAATCGAAGTTGCGACGATCGTTTATGATGAGGCCACGATCTTAGCGGTTAAAGCGAAGATCTCATAGCCATTTTAATCAAGTTGCTTATTTCTCTCGTTTCTGTCTTCGTTTTGCTTTCGCTGAGTTGGTTAGTAGGATTACCACGCAAAGCAGTTTATTCTTGATATGCGACGATGTCACCTGAAAAATCGACGATTTGACGGAAATCGATTTCCGCAGGTACCCATACATGCCAGACGTTCAATTGAGATGAGGAAATGATAAACTAAAGGTCGCTTGGGTAAAAATGGGACCGGTCATCCTCCTAATTTGATTTAACTGAGTTCATGGGATTTGCGACAAGAGCGTGTACGGTTAAATGAACAACGCAGAATGGCCCCTTAGCTTTAAATTTTGACTCGTTCGCTTTGTTGATGGCACAGCGCCAAAGTACCCCTTAACAAGCTTTAATAGGAGCATACCTAGGGGATAAAAACCTCTTTTCCGCAAAACGTGGCATAACTTTCTAGGGAACCGTCTTTCATGATCAAAGATGAAACTTCTAGTTTCCGTCAGTCCACGTCAGTGTTGTATGAATGTTCATGTTTTTTCAGATACAGAAACTCAGACAATAGAGGAAGGAGGCAATATCAACCTTACTTGTGGAGACAGAAACCACTCTTCCAGTACCGTATTGTCCTGGAACAAAGACGGCGAAGATGTGCTTGTTAACATTACCTCTTTCAATCAGTCCATACTAGTGTTGTCTAATCTCGAGACAAGTGGTAGTGGCTTGTATGTTTGTACAGCTAACTCGTCTGTGGTATTGAGAAGAGTAAGGCTCACTGTCATGAAAGGTGAGAAGTGAAAACCGTAACCCCAAAAGACTTGAGCACTGTTCTCTTCCAAGGACACACGCGTCTCTTCACACAACTTGACCGGACTATGATAATGAGTTACTCGTATTAAAAACTGGGGTTAACGATTCGGTGAGGTAATGCATGCTCAATATTGGGAAGACCACTCTAATTGCAAAAAAACGATCGACCTCCTTAAGTTATTGGACACGGCTTCAGTTTCTTCAGTGTTATATTATAGGCTATACAAGAACCTTGAAAGGAATTCCTGAAATGCAATTTGTTCTGTCAAATTCTGAATAATTTCATCAGAATGGCCAGTCTCTGGACATGTAAGGGCATTTTGAGTAAACAGACGAAAGGTAAGCAACGGCGGGGTAAAAGACTTTAGCGGTTAGAAATGAAAGGTTATATTATTTGTTAGGTGGGGAAAATATCAACCATTATGGTAATATGTGACTATACCAAGGTAACAAATTTGTTTCATTTTAGCCTAGCAAATATAACATAGGCGCATATTAATGAACGATTATTTTGTTTTAAATTTTTTTATGTGGCAGGATACGGGACGGCGCTGCCTAGTTAAAGCTACACTTTATTCCTTTTTTGTCACCAAAAAAGCCCGCGCTTTTCGCGACGAGTGGGCTATAACATATAGCCTAGTAGTAGCTCAACCAATCAGAACGCAGCATTGATAATAGACCACTAGTTGGATTTTACTAACTGACATCAATCATAACTAAAGGCTTGGTTACCAATGGTAGCAACGGAAAAAACCAACTCATTGGATTTTACTAAAACAATTATTCCTCTCGCCCTCATGGCCTCTGAGTTAATAGCCCATTCGGCACTTCGGCCTCATGGGCTATTGGTTGACTCAGAGCCCATTCGGGCTCGAGGAATAATTGTTAAATATTCCCTAGATTAAGTTACAATAAGGCAAATGATACGTTTTTGAATAGTCTTAGAAAGAACGAAGTTGAAGCCCAAATTGAATTTACCTTAACAGTTATGGAAAGGGAAGGGTCAGCTGTTATTGATGTACCAGTGAAGAAAGACAGTTTGTTAGTTTATGTACTTAAATTTTTCGTAATTTTGGCGGATCGGTGAGGAAGTGAAGTGATAAGGGAGAGAGATTAGGATACGAAAAGTCCGGGTTCGACCCTGGGATGCGACATTCTTTCTTTTTAATAGGAACAGTTGTACAGTACCGCAAATGATCCCCAACCGCAAATGATCCCGAGACCGCAAATGATCCTCGACCGCAAGTGATCCTCAAAGTCGACCACAAATGATCCCGAAAGAAAAATAGGAATGGCTTAGACTCGAGTAAGCGGATCATCGTGTCGTTTTTATTATTATTACAAAAAGTTAGATTAAAAGCTAAATTTTAGTTCTTAAATAAATACATGAATAAAAACTAACTGGAAAAAAATCATTCAAGTGTAAAAAAGAAGTCGGTAGGCAACACACGACTTTTACCTCATGCCAAAATGCTGCTTGTTCCAAGGAATTTTTCTCTGACGGGTAGATTATACCTCTGAAGGAAAACGTTTTGACTGAGTAAATGTGATTTTTGCTGCTTATTTCATACTGAGAGGTCATGACACGCATTTTCTGCCGTTATTGTTGTTTCTGGTCGACATGATTTGTCCTTTAATGCAAGAGCATTTCCTTTGACCTCTTTTGGAAATGCAATGCTTTTCATTGCGGCTAAATAAGGGTTTTAGGTTGTTTAATTTTCTTTAAAATGCCTCATGGATCCGAATAATTATAAGCGACTTTCCGTGAATTTGACGGTTGAGGGGCACCCAACGAGGATACAGTTCAAAACCACTTAACACAGCATTGTTGAACGTATTTTAGTATTCAAACGGTAGATATAGGCATATTTTTATCCCCTAAAAACTTTTCATCTGTTCGGATTTCCTAGCTGAACGTTTAGTGATCCGAAAATTATAGGGATAAAAACTTACCTTCTCGAAAATTTCAGCCAGGAAAAGGCTCCCGAAAAATTCTAGGTGGCCTTTTTTAGTGTCAAAATCCGTTAAAAATGGGTAATTACCGTAAAATTCCGAAAATAAGCCCCGGGGCTTATATTTTTCAAAGGCCCTTTTTGAGGGGCTTATTCACGGAGGGAAATTTCCGTTTCAAAATCGATTGGGCTAGACTTATAGTTTCAAGTAAATTAGCCGTTTTTGCTTTGTTTTACTTTGTATTTGAGGGCAATTTTCCAAGTACAGGCCCCCGGGGGCTTATATTTGGAGGGGCGATTTAACGGAGGGTTTTTTGCATTACGAGTTTGGGGGGCTTTTATTTGGAGGGGCTTATACATGGAGGGGCTTATTTTCGGAATTTTACGGTATACCATTTTGTCCTGCATTTTGTAGATGTTCGAAAATCCTAGGAGAGGCAGGCAAGCAAGAAATTTTACAACAAATGCTCCGAAAAATCTCAAATCGTCTTCCGAACAGATATTTTCCCGAAAATTGCCGTTGGGTGCCCCTGACGGTTCCTACGATGTTTTGTCACGCGATAACTACCGCTCAATGTATCGGGTTGGGGTTTCTCGTTACCACGTTTAGATTCCTGGTAACTGTCTGCAGCAAAGGCACAAGAAATGGATATACATATAAGCGTCAATATAACTATTCGCAACATGTTCATAAGCTGTAAGTAAGTTGTTCTTTCGAAATAAACCGAAACCTGTGGACATTGATAAATTCGGGGGCATTTTGACTTGTGTTTATTTCAAATCATGTCTTGTTTTGTAACGGGCACTCCCAGGCCTGGGGCACTCCTCAGTTACGAACCAATGTCTTGCTGTTCATCACGTAAAATTAACACTTCAGAGAAAAATCAAAACTAAATAATCTGGAAATTAATTCGACACTTCTAAAAAGATCAGTAAAGTCAATAAAGCTGTTGTTATGTAGAGGGTGCCCGGCTTTGTATTCGTCAGTAGACAAGTTGAGCTTGGGCGTTAAAATAATAGAGTTTTTTCTGCGTAATGTCCTGCCTGTCTTAAATTTTCAGCGACGAAACAGTTCTTGAAAGAAAATTGAAGCAATTGACAAAGGAAGAATTATATACGGTTGATACCATATCCTTTTCAGATTTATTCTACTTTTTTTCGCCTTCTATAAATTGACCTGAGATGTAGCGTCCTCCTTCCCTTTTTCTTTAGAAGGCGCGAGAAAAAGGTTCCTTTTTTATAATCAGTCCTTTTTTGTAATCAGTCCCATAAAATCCATTCCATTCCTCAAGTTTTCACGGGATCATTTGCGGTCGACTTTGGGGATCACTTGCGGTCGAGGATCATTTGCGGTCCATTTTGGGGATCATTTGCGGTCTCGGGATCATTTGCGGTTGGGGATCATTTGCGGTACTGTACACTCTCAATACCAGGTTAAAAATTTTCCAAGTATTTTAAAAATGGCAGCGACCTTTTATGAAAGGGACAAACACGTCGGCGTTACTCATAGGTCTCCACTGAGTCACTTGTGTCCAGAAATGCACATAACTCGGACATGCAGAACTTCATATTAGACGCAATAAAGTGTAATTCCGTACAACGCATTTCTCTTTAGGGTTAGGGCCTTGTTGAAATTAAAGAAGGTGACGTCTATCATAAAGACCATGAATATCATAAGTGTACATTTAAATACAGTGAAACCCCGCCTCACGGCCACCTCGTCAGTCATTACGGCCACTTTTTTTGGCCGCCTGGCAAAACGGCCATACATTTTCTTATATAAGACCCTCGTTAATACAGTCACCTCTTAATACGGCCAAATTTTTTTGGCCCGTTGGTGACCGTATTAACGGGGTTCCACTGTAGAACCTATTCACGATACCCGTCATCTTTGAACGCGCTTTAAGAACTGATGGGATAAAAGCAAATTACTCCTATTGGCAAATTTTAACACATGTTTGCCCCCAGAGAAACCACGTGACATTGCTCTTTTCCCATGCATCCTGAAGCGCCTGCAAAGATGGTGGGCATCATGAATAATAAGGTCTATTCTGGTCATAACTTGATCAACGTTAGTTTCTATTTTTAGATGTAACAGCAGTACAAGAGGAAACAGCCACACCACAGGAAGGACTGACACGAGTGGATATCATTGCTATTATCCTTGGGCTTGCCCTTACCGCCTTCATAGTTGTCTCAATATTACTGTTGCTGTATCGAGCAGAAAAGCGTCGCAAAAAGACGAAATACGTGGATAGGTGGCAAGTTGATATACAAACAAATGTGAGTAGAGACTACTAGAGACCAGATAAGAAAAACAAACCACAAATTCAGAAATTCGGAAATGCAGTACCTAACCCTCCCAAGGGCGCCAGAAATTTTAACTAGTGTAAAGTACTAGACAAAAATTTTAACCTCGTGGGTGAAAGTGTAGCCAAATAGCTTTAAATGGTTTAAATTAGACCAACCTCTGAATCAGCAAGAAGCCCAAGCTACCAAACTACACAGTATTGCTCGGTATCACCGTATGGCTATACTTCCACGATGATAAAAGGAGGCTAAAGCACGACTCTGACGGTAACGGAAAAGTCAAAAAGCAGTAGGTTTAAAAGGGCATAACAATCTTTTCTACTACACGTGTCTTTGCCGTCACTGCTTGGCTACGACAGGAAACTTCCTAATATTTCATGTTTTGTAGGGGACATACTCTCAATTAATTAAGACGACGTCTCCTCTCTTTCTGAGTCAGTTAAAAGAAAAATATCGGCTAAAATTGACAAATTGAAGCCGAATTATTGTTTCAAATTTTTTGAAGAAATGTTTACAAGTGCTGTCGTTTTCTTAGTGTTAAATCAGAACCTCGACGACGGCAACTAAGGAGAGAGGTCCTGCGAAGTTACTATACCGTAAATGATCGATTAAGCGCCGCGGCGCTAATTTCATTTTCCCTGTTAAAGGTGCGGTGCTTATTCGAGAGTGGCGCTTAGTTCATCTACTGGTAAAACACTGGGGGCGAAAAAAGAGAGAATTACTTGAGGCGCCTACTAGGTATGATTTCGAATGAAATACAAGAGGTATCATGAACGCAGTTTCTCGGTCTCTGAAAGTATTGCTGCTCAAATATAAGAGGTAAGATGATCACAGTTTCTCAGTCTCTTTGTGAAACAAAGGTGGGGCGTTTATTTGTAAATACTCAAATTAGCCCCGCGGCGCTTATCAATTATTTTCGGTAAAGGTGCTGTGCTTATTCGAGAGCACTGCTTATTCAAGTAGCGGCGCTTAATCGATCATTTACGGTAAACACATCACTTAGTGTTCCTCTAGATTAACTTGCTTTTCGTAAAACACTCTTCAGGAAAACATGTCGGTGGGAGAAGAACTCACAAGAATCCCGCCATCTCGTCGTGCTCTCTTCATGAGGATTGGGCGAGAGCTAAACAGACCACCACCGCCTTACAGAAAACCAACGAGTCAAGTCAGCGACAGTTATGGCACAAAATATGGAGTTGACGAGAATGCAAACAAAAACAACAACGATAGAATCTTGCAGTGGCGATTTACAGCTTATTTGTAAATAAATACATATACACCGTGATTTTTAGGGAGTTATTATAACTCCAAAAATGGAGTAAAAATTTTAGGTACAGATAACCCCTTTTTTGGGGTTATTTTAACTCCTAATTTAACCCCGAATTTGGGGTCATTTTTACTCATGAAAAAGAGTTCCTTTTACTCCCAGTCTGGAGTTAAAATCACTCCGAAATGGGGTTAATTTTACCTCTTACATGGGTTGTTTTTACTCTTTTTGGAGTTAATTTAACTCTGAAAGTGGAGTAAAAACTTTAGGTACAGGATAACTCATTTTTGGGGGCTATTTTAACTCCTCAATATCTGGGGTCACTTTTACTCCTGACAAAGAGTTCTTCTTGGAGTTAAAATAACTCCCCAAAAATAACTCCACTGTAAGGAGTTAAATTAGCCCCACTAGAGGAGTTATTATAACTCCTTGAAAATTACTGTCTATCTTTCCTCCAGCAAACAGAACGATTCCAGTCCCACAAGGGCAAATTTGATGACAACGCATGTGCATTGCATCATGTGTGCTGTTTCGTCCTTAGGCTTTCTCCTTTCCCATTTGCCCCCGCGAAACTCATCACTCAAGTTTCCCATGCCAAGTGTACGTAGGGACTGATTAGGACGAGCCTTACGTTTTTGTTTATATGTAACTTTATTCCAAAGCCGAATATGTCTGTAAACAGAAATGTAGTACGGAAAAATTATTTGAAAATTAGTCTCCCGAGATATTGGAATTGGAAATCCTATAGTGAAAGAACGAATTTTACTTCATTTCAACACGAACAGAGATAAGGATAGAATTGGTGTTTTGCCACAGTTTTATCCTCTCTTGCCACAATGCAAGCTGATATTTTCTTCATTATTTCGATTTCAACTGGGATGTTCTGGTTTGGTTTCATCCTTGGCTGCAAAAATTGAATTGAACCAAGGGTTGAAAATAAACCTCAACAAATGCTACCTCGATGTCTACTGTGCTTTCCAGTGCTGATGGCCCAAAATGTCACTGGCATCACTGTTTGACGATGTACCTCAACTGTTTTGCTAACTCAAATGTAAGAGAATGTGTCGATATTCTACGCAAAGCAACCTTTAATTTGGACGCACGCAGGAGCCCTTAGGTGCGCGAATAAGCATCGATCGCTCGTAAATTATGTGCAATTGTCAGAAAATGAATGAAGTAAGTAATTGAGGCACTGGCTTTTCACTGGTGCATCGCGTTGGAGGCACAAAATACTGTACTATATATATTAAAATCAGTTTTAGCTAAAGAGGTTCGGTACCGTGGAATAGTTTGCCTGTTGAGCTGCGGCAAGCGAGAACTCTTCTTTTAAACACGGTTGCAGTGATCTCTTTTGAAATATTTCTTTAATCACGGTAATCTTGTAAAGCAGGTACGTTTAATTAGTTAAAGTTTAGAATTAGTTAAATAGGTTAAATCTTTTAAGTAGTTCACTTTGCCTGATGATTTTTAACCTTGGATAAATAAAGTTCTTGTTGTTGGACGAAGTTGATAGACTGTGAGCAGCTCTTTTTCAGTCTTTTCAGCCCCATTCTCGTCCCCAGAGCCCTTCGTTTCTTGGTCACGTGGTCTTGAAACGAGGGTATCTGGAAGCAGCCGTTACCGGATGTCAGAAAATTTCTGACATCCGGTCACGCATGTGCAGAAGTTACAAATATCACTGCTCATGCTCATAACGGATTTTTGTCTCTCACCGCACATTCTCGTCCCCAGAGCCCGTCGTTTCTTGGTCACTTGTTCGTTCAAATTAAGCCCAGT